CTCTTTCCTCATCAACTTTACGACAGGAAGATTAAGCAATGTAACGGTGTCGACTCGTCGATCGGGGTTGACTCTAAGGCAGTCCTTGATTACAGATGCAAGTTCTGGCGAATATATATTTGGTATTGGTGTGACTTTGCCCTCTTTAATCTTCTGCACAAGTTGAAAGTGGGATTTCGCGTTAAATGGAACTTCTCGTGTGCAGAGCTCGTACATAATGCAACCTAAAGACCAAATATCTGACTTTAACGTATATCGTTCTGCGGCGCAGATTTCTGGGGACATGTAGAATGGAGTTCCAACATATGTAGAAGCAAAATCGTGAGATTCCATCAATTTCGAAAGACCAAAATCTCCAAGCTTCACCGAGTTGCCTTCACCAAGGAAGACTATAAGATTTAGCATAAGAAACATAATTGTATATGCCTAGGATACTCACTGTTTTCGGGCTTCAAGTCTCGGTGTAGAATCATGACACCAGGCGCAGGCTTCTGTGGTTTTGCGGTATTTCCCAATCCCATAACATTGCTCCCAACTTCTGGTGGATCGACTCCATAGTGACATCTATACAATGCTGAAACCAATTGTGCGAATATGCTCCAAACGAAACCCTCTTCAGCATACTTGTTTTTTGCTTGTAAATCCTTTATAATTCTACCAAGATCCCCATTGCCACAGTATTCCATATACAAATGAAGGTCTTGACTGGACTTTAGATGCTCTCGATGATAGTATCCGACGATGTTTGGATGTTTAAGTGAGGAAAGAATGGCAAATTCGGCTTGTAGTTGTTCTCGTTCTTTTTGTGACATCCGCATGTAGTTAATCTCCTTCCTACATAAGATTTCTCCATTATTCTTTCTTCGGACCTTTCGAATGATACCAAAAGAGCCATGTCCTACAGAATAGATAGAGTATATTAGTTTTGTCTCACTTAAGAGTTGGCGCAACGAGTAATAAATCCAATATGAACCACGTTCTGCAGACTTACCTATCTTCTCCAAAACTTCGTACTTGCTTTCTTCTGTCATGATTCCGAAAGTATTATATTTAAGGGAGGGAAGATCTTTGCATTGATCTAAATAAAGAAAGCAATTAACATTAGTATTGTTGTAATTTATTCGAGGTTGGCGATGTTTTGTCGTTTTATTCAAAGTTGATGAAGATGGATTGTGAATTAATTCATTCAGGTTGGTGTTTACTTTTTGGTTGCCCTTCCAACCGTTTGACTATTTGATACCAAACTAGAATTGGACGTCACCCGGGGAAATTTTGATAATGCCAGAAGGCGGTGAAGGTTCGAAATTTGGATGACGGTTGAAACATCTAACTCCGATCCCTTATCCGGATTTCTTTTATCGATAAGCTTTCTTCCCCCTCCATGTGCTTGTGTCAAAATCGGCAGCTTCTCAACCTTGCCACAATTTTGTATCTTTATCTGTTTTATTATTATTATCACTACTGGGTCCATATCCTTTGCCATTCACTATCGATTATTCATTGCTCACTACTCCCATATCTTCTACTTCATACTCTTTGCACACATACCTTCAGAATGGTAAAACGGAAAGATGAGCTCGAAGTTCAACTGAAGGATGAGCACCAGCTGATCAAGGAAGGACTTTTGAGAGACGAAAGTCCCCTTGATACTAGTCCCGAATTCCAAGAGCTTTGCGTTGCTTGTCGAATTGGTGATGTTAAGAGGGTTCAGCAAGCAATTACTACTCCTGGAATCAATATCAATGCTAGAGATCCCTTTGATTATACGCCATTGATCTTGGTAAGCCTTATGTTATTCCTAATGCCAATTGGCCTCGCTGACAAACTATCAAGGCAAGTCTTTGTGGACACTACAATGTTGTTCAACTACTTCTCGAAGCTGGAGCTCTCTGCGAGCGCGATACATTCCAAGGAGAGAGATGTTTATACAATGCATTAAACGATCGGATTCGAAACCTTCTATTAAAGTACGAATATTCGAAGTCTAGGGACCCATTACAATCATTTGCTTCTCACATCACTTCTCTCCTTACTAGGCAGACTCCTGAAACTTCAGACATAATACTCAGTGCTGGATCAGAATCATGGAATTTACACAAGATGATACTTTCTGCCCGGTCACCATATATGCAAAGAAAGCTTTCTGCTGCCCCAGAAACCAAGTCATGGAAATTAGAACCTTCCATTCCCCCAGAATGTTTCCAGGTTGCTTTTCGATATTTATACATGGGTGAAGTGCCATCAGATCTTGGTCTTAGGTCTAGCAGCTCTGTGGACGATGTGCTCAAAGGGATTGATAAAATCAGCAAACAGCTTGAGATTGAATCCCTCTGGGAAGGGCTCTTGAGTGGGCGTGATAGGAGAATAGCTCGACAACGGTATCAAGATGAAGTTTTACGAGCAAGAAATCAGATGGAGTCTTGGTATCGAGGTAATGTTTTGAAGCATAAGATACACATCGATACCGTGAAGGCCAAGGATGTGAAGTGGACTAGGAATAATTCCATTTTTGCAGACGTTCTGTTACAGGCAAACGAAAACGTAGTTTCCGATGAGGCTTTGAGTTCAAGGCCAGAAACGCCAACACCTAACACAACTGTTTCCTCAAATGGTATTCCTATTGGCCCCTCGAGCTCACTGCCCCAAGAGACATCAACCGCCAATTCATCTCAGAAATCTATACTCTATCCTGCGCACCGCGCTATGCTTATACGATCAGAATACTTCCAAACGATGTTTAGTTCCTCGTTTCAAGAAGCGCAAGTTACTGATTATTTGCAAATCATCTATGTCGACTGCCCCCCTGCTGTACTAGAGCTTATCCTCGACTTTCTTTACACCGAGAATGTTGATATTCCTCTTGATCTCGCTATAGACGTTCTTCTTGCAGCAGACATGCTCTTCATTGAGAAACTCAAAACCAAAGCTGCAGTAGTAATTAGTACTCTCGGAAATGGTTCGAGCACACTCGCTGATCGCACACACACCGACAGTGATGAATTAGATGTGGAATTAATCAACCCTTATGATGTTATGAGAGCTGGATGGTTGACAAGAGTCCAAAGACTAGAGGAATTTTGTGCTAGGTACATGGCATATAGGTTGGAGGACTATATTGACGAGCCAGAGTTTGAGGAGTTGATTAAAGAGAGTGCTGCTAGAATTGAAAAGAGACAGGAGACTGACACTATTGAATTACTCGATGAGTATGTTACCCCAATTCCTCTTCTCCTTACCTTTAAGAATGTGGCTTTTGTTTAGAGAACATAAGAAAGCCTTGGGAGAAATTTGAGGGCTTGCATCCGATTGAAACACTGTCTATGGTATAATAACTGACATTTCTCTAGTATTCGCTTTTACCTATCCGAACGCTTCAGGCTCCGATTTGAAGACTCGGGCCTTGAAGATATGATGGATGAGAATATAAATGAGAACGGCGAAGAAAACGGAGATGAAAAGGGATTAATCGACGATGATAAATCTGCGAATGCTGTGAAGTCTAGCACAGTGGTTGATATAAACTCAACCCAATCCCCTGCCCTCGATCCAATGATGAATGGTCAAATACGGACTCTCAATGGTGAGATTGCAGGTGACGAGTTTGCCGCAGATGCTATAAACTACCAAACGTTACTTGGAAAGATAGACAACTTGTTAGAAAGATTAAAGTTAGATGCTTAGACTCTGTACGAGGAATTGGATATTATTTTTCGTATTTAAGCGAAGTTTGTATTTTAGAAAATATATTTATACTTATGTCCTCACATTTTTCACCCTTTGCGTTAGGACCAAAATTACAATCATGTTTGTCCTTGCATTTGACATCGAATATTAATTATCTTTTGGAGAGAAAGAATGCATCTTGTTCACCGCAATTTCTCATCAGCATCGCGCCTTATCCATACCCCTCCATCCTCACCTCATATATGGTCACTCTCATCACATAGGCACTAGATCTCCTGATCCTCAACTTCACCCTGCGCAATAGTATCTAATGCTATTCAAACATTGGACTCCGAATTAACTCTAATCTAAATATTGAGACTATATCGTCTCAAAGCTTCAGACTCTGTATATTTACCATATAAGTGATACTAACATTACCTGGATAACACGGCAAATGCACCGTACAATCTCTGTGCATTATATATAAAAACACGAAACATCCCAATTCTACGATTTATCCATAACGGCAGATAGTTATTTTTGAACATTTCTTTTGTCGTTTATCAATAAACGTTATATTGTATCGAAGCTGACTCTCCTTTCCCCCTCGCGTATCCACGATTTGCCCCACATTATCAATCAATATAAGGACATCTGCGGTCTGGATGAATGGGAATGGAATTCAGTCTAATACCAACCAAAAAGGACAGGAATGGTGTCTCAAACAGTTCCCCGTTTGAGAGAGCAAGAGAATACACTTTCTGATTTGCTCGAAGCTGCTGTCAATTTGGCCTTTTCATCACTTACCTATGGTTGAGTGGTACTTTGAAAGGTCGCCTATTAAATCAAAAGGATTCGATTCCGAGCTAAATTTACTCCAGGCTATTTCACTGAATGGCTAACTTGACTGGTATGTAGTACTGATTCTAGAGTATTCACCGTCTATTTGAGCCTTCAATCACTCGTAAATGAACAAATATCCCTCATTTTCATCAATTGTGATTATAAAGAGATAGTCTAATAATAGAAAGATTCCCTATTTTCCTGGGTTCTGTATTGCGAACTGATAAAACCTATAGCCTTACGCAAACCAGCGAATTAACCGGCCATACAACTTAGTTCAGTCTTTAGCGATCCTTCTCCTGATTGTACGCGCAACAGGTTATCGAGCGATCTAGCTTGGTAGACCAGATGTGAAAGCTTTTAACGTTTGAACATTGTGAATTTCTGGATATGATGCAACGCCCTGGAAAAATATTCAAGTCTGAAACAATTTAAATGATCCAGAGGATCCCAATATGAACACTCTTCCATTGTCCGACTGCAAACCCCAACTACTGCGCGCTTTCAAGCGTAGTTTCGAGCGCAGTTTCCGACATTTCTGTTTCCATTTCTCGAGCCAATAACATCTCCATTATCTCCTTGCCGTGCTTTACGTTACCCGCCACGAACCGAATCACTTCATTGTCAATCTTAACTGAATTGTACTCTAAAAACGCCTCTATCATTTCTCCATCCCAGGTGGACAATGCAAGGTTGATTACATCTGGAGCTATTTTCGTACGCGCTTTAAGTAACCATAGGATGTCATCTCGGCGGAAATCCACAGGTCGACCCAGAACAAGTGTCTTCCAATTGATCACTCTCTGCATACCTAAGATGTCTTCCATATGGATCGCTTCATCGAACAAACCACGATAATGTGAATACACATGCTTATTATAATCATCATAATGTGAATACACATGCTTATTATAATCATCATAATGTAAATACAGAAACTTATTATGATCAACGATCGAATTATTTTCATGTATGGACATGTATAAAAATGCCTCCGTTAAATGATGCATGAAAATGTTCTTATCATAAATTTCATGTCGAAAGGTCATTGCGAGTAGTTGAATCGATACGATCCAAGGGTCCCTAGCAGCTCGCATAATCCTGCTGTGGTGAGGCTCCATCGTATCCAAAATGACTTTAGCGATGGCAGCAACCTTGTTTTGTTTTGCAGACGATGTATCGTTTTCAACAGCGTCGAGAGGGGCAAAAGCATTCGCAATATTCAAGCTCACCATATCGAGGGGCTCCAGAATTAAAAAGCTGCATTCATTACATAATCCGATGCACTCATCGGAGGATTTAAATAGTGTTGATGTTATGTCGGCGTCGTTATTCTGAAGCATGAGTAGCGATGTGGGTCGCATCACTATTCGGGGTTCCGAGTGGTCCACGCACATCGTATCTTCTTTCGTTCGAATCTCCATTATTGTTTGGGCTGCCCGCCTGCTCCCGTTGTAGGATGCAATATAGTATGCAGAAGTCCAGTACAACTTATGGTTGAGCTTCATTGGCAGTATAGACGTCGTTATCTTGTGTAGTAGATTGATAGCCATCGAACTATCAAAATATGCTGAAGTTTGGACACAATTGAGACCCATCGAGTTTTTCTCAGTGAAAACGTATTGGGGATTTGCATGAGAAAGAAGCCGACTGACAATCTCATTGAGATCATACTTACAGACCAGAAAAACAGTCCAAATCAACAACGTCATAGTTCTATCCTTGATCCATGAGGGGCGCAAATGTGATTCATTTCCCTGCAGGTAAGAATCGAGCCTAGATTTGGCGAACCCAGAATTTCTCGATTCAAAAGGAGAAATTAGAAAGTCTACGAGTAACTCTCCTAAAGCACCCTCACGTCTTGCACTGGGAGCTGATTTCGCATAATTACCCCAAAAACATACTGCGTGGTTCCTAAACGTAGGCCGTTCTTGTGATTCTGACATGATATAAGTTAAACATGCTTCCGCGGCCATCAGATTTGTATCTTCAGCTGAGTATCCGGGCTGGGACTCAAGGTATTCCCGCACCGATAAATGAGCAAACTGAAACTTATCCGTCTCTTTATTATAAACTACTAAGTTGAAGCAGATGCTTAAGATTTCGTCATTTGATAATAGTGGGTGGCCTGCGTTATTCACAAAAATGGCTTGCGGGAAGGTTTTAGAGTTCAGAGCTTCGCGGGAGCAAAGAAGCCATTTTAATGCACGCGACGCTAACAGTGGGTTAGGATATTCGGCTTGCATGATCTGTGATATCACCACACCATATGACTTTCCCAATTCTTGCGGTAGGTGGTCGAGTGCATGATGCACGTTGGCTTCCGTTTTAACCCGATATGGATCACAAAGGCTGTCAATGTGCATGCTTGCTAGTCGAAACATGCCATTAGCTTTCTCTATCAACTTGTCAATGATGATGTTCTCCAAGTGACTTGAGACACGCCCGCAGAGAAGCTTATCTTCTCGAATTGCCTCCTTAATACGCGATTTGATGAACAATATGATATCCGCAGTATTGTCAGTCGCATGAATGTATAGGTTCGGGGAACGAGCTAGATGGTGAACGATGTCATGGTCATCTCTGCTACTGACAAAAACTTTGACGATATTGTTTGACTTCGTGATGATCTTTTGCAGGCCGAGAAGCAAATCATTTCTTTTAATAGGATCGCATTCGTCAAGTCCATCAATGACTATGGTTGCAGGATTGGATTCTAACAATTCTAGAATAATGTTAACCGTTTCTTCGAGACTGAGCCTCTCCGGTTTTCGTCCTCGGGCTTCCTTCTTCCGAGCAAGATATTGTTTTGACACAGGTTCCCTTATTGGGGTCTCTGCATCTAATGAGCACAACTGCTCTAGTATGTTTCTTAGTATTTCTGTTGGATTAGCCCTTTCAGGTTCATTAACAGTTCGAACACAATAGAAGTATGCAATAGGTGCAGAGCTTTGATGCTGTTGGGCTCGACTTTGGAGATATTCGATAACATGGCATACAAGCATGCTCTTCCCACTGCCGGGGATTCCATGGAGCCACAAGATGGAAGATGTACTAGCCTCCATCCATTCCTTGAATTCCTTCTTTCTCAACAGCCAATTGCAAGAACCAGATAATAAGCTCCGCGATTTTTCCCTGTGGTGGCTAGAGCTTGGTATCATTGTAAGCCACTCAAAAACCTTTACTCGCTCCTTTTCCTCTAGATTATCTTTTACACTAGATAGATCTTCAGCAATGCGCTGCACGGGATCCTTGAGATCGTTCAAGGCTTTGACCAAATGGTGTTCGATTTTGTTCCACTTGAGTTCTGCAGATGACATATCTTGTTGAATGGTCTGTGTGAGATTGTGCAATTGTCCAAGACGTTGTCCCAAGTCACTTCCCAGTAGATTCGTTGATGAAATCCCTTGCTGAAGGCTTTGTATTGATGTATGGCATACATCCATACATAGATTGTGTGAGAGCATTCATGTTTCTGTCAATCTTACCAAGGGATTCATCAGAGACGAGGCGCGTATATTTCTCAACTTCCAGTTCGTTTTGCTTGATGCTCGATATGAATTTATGTGTTGATTCTTCTGGACGAAAGAAGCTATGCGCAATTTTCTTCAGAATATGAGGCTCGAAGTATGCATGCGCTTGGAAAAGGTAGTCCAAAATGGCAGTATATAGCTTAACAATCGCATCGGCCAGAAGAGACTTCGCGCGCGATGCTTTCTGTAGGTGGAGATACTCCACGATCTCATACCGTGCTAGAAGATTGACAACAATCTCCATGCCTTCAAGGATAGCACCATTTGAGTTGATATCGCTAATAGCAGCCTGCGATGCAATTAATAACCAAATTTTAAATCACAGCGGTACATCATATACCTGCAATAGAAACCTGACAGCAGCCCATGGTAAACTCGCATGGATTGGATCATATTGCACAACAATATCCCCAATAGACTTGAACTTTTCAATCCAAATTGCAAGCTTAACAAAGATGTCGCGAATAATGATCACTTGACCATTTTTCTTTTTCCACTTCCATTTCCTTTCTTGAGCCTTGAGTTCCTGCTTTTGCACCAAATCCAAAATTTCTACCAAGATTTGTCGCCTTTCTAAGCCCGCAGCGACGAGTGCTGAGATATTTGTGAACTGGACTTGTTTAAGAGCCTCATTCCACAGGTCCTCAGATTGTCTGTCACGTCAGTAGATGTCTCTCAATGGGAGATGCAATAATTGCCTTACGTTTTGACATAAGGTGCAGCTCCAGGTGTGGTCATTTTGACTATGGTTTTGATGTTCTTCGGCGAATAATCTCCCTGGAATCAAGTCCGTTGAGGCTCTGCCCATCAGAATTTAGCAGTGCGGTATTGACTTCCACAAAACTCGATCTTTACTTAGCAATCAAATGTTGTGATTCAATGATTATGAAGCGGAAATGAACGAGCATCACTTCCTGGCATCAGAAAAATTCGGTGTGTGAGCTAGATTTAATTTTGCAAGAAGATGCCGATGAATTTCTGCATGTCAGCTCTACACAGCCTCCCAAAAGCAAGTACCTAAGTATGCCTCGGGGAGCCGCCCCTATGAAAGGTCACCAATGAAAGAGGTTTGGCTGAATTGAAGACCGGTATGTATGAAGCATTTATATCAGCCCCAATCGTTCATGTAGGGATGGTGGCCACCCATTTTTATACCTTTTCATTGGGCCGATTGCGGTTTATCAAGCAAGATCATCTGCGACGTGTAAGTTGCAATGCAATATAGCATTCTACATTGTGGAATCGTCAACATGTATGAATGAGGATGGACATGCTTATACTTAGCATTCAAAGCATCTCATGTGAGGGAGAGAAGAGAAAGAAATTTTAGGTAGACAGTGGGTAATTAATTACATGGTTGGAAATATTTTAGTGTTCCTTCACTAAATTTAATAAAATACATAGCAGGCTCTACATAAGCGACAAAACAGGCGGAAATTGAGTATCTTTTCGAAGAACTTTTTTAATGGATTATAAATTCATTTCAAATTAAATAATGAAATTTTTCTAAAAAAGCAAACGAAAATCTGAGTCTTCTTTGCATTGATATTCGATGTTTTTATTGTTTAATATTATATCAAGAGGAAATCTTGGTTATTGAAATTCTTTCGAATGGTGGTCAATTCCCGCCTGTTATTTCGTTGATGTAGAGGCGGGGTAGGCCGTGTTCAAAGCTTATCTATCAACTCCGCTGTTGATGTTCTATATGCCACTATATCCTCGGAATCTCCGAATTGTGTACGGAGTAATCAAAAGTTAAGGTTTTTGTTGGTGACTCAGAATTCACTATGACTCGATTCCGAGCGCCGTTAATACAAAGGGTTTAATCTCTCTTATATATAGCGACCGGCGCCATGGAGCCATTCGATTTACCTTCAGGATATCAATGGCACAATACGCAGCTCAATCTGAGCGTCTTTGGCTAGAGCCATTGACCGTAGAGGAACATCTCGATGGCTATCACAAAATGATCTCTGATCCGCGAGCTGCTTCATGGACGTAAGATGAACCCTTTCGATTTTGCCCACTCTTGACCTCCAAGATGGATATGTCTAACTCTCAACTCAACTTAGAAAACCAAGCGAGTCCATCGAGGAGAGTAAAGCATACATGATTGAAAGAATACCGAACCCGGAAAAGCCGTGGATTGAGAACTATGCAATTTTACTTCGGCCGACAACACCTACCCCTGCCGATCAAAAGCCTGAGCTCATTGGCGCAATTGGAGTGATAAGATTCCAGGCTGGGCACGGCGCGGAAATTGGTTATGGTATACATGCTGGTTATCATGGTACAGGCTTTGCTACAGAAGCTATGAAGCTATTTATGGGGCTTTACTGGAGTAAAGAGAGTATGTGAAATCGACTCCAGTTATGCTCTTTAGTTCTCTAACCGGAATACAGGAGAGGGAGATTGGAACACATTAGTGGCGGCTATAGACCCCGAGAACGTTGCCAGTCAGAGAGTAGTAAAGAAGGTAGGTTTTAGGGAAGGAGACTTGGAAGATGAGGAACACGAAATGTGGGTTGATGGGGGAAAGGAGAAGAAACCTGTGAGGCACAGAGAATGGTTGCTGTCGAGACCAGTGTGAATATTATTCTACCATTCACCGGTAGACGTGCTGGTTTACAAAGCTTTCCTCAACCACCAAAAAATCGTGTTAATCAATTGACCGTTGAAGTCGACTATTCGCAACTAATTATTCTTCACTGTTTCGTTTACGTTGAATAATCTCAGAAAGTCTATGCTATCCATATTCAACGTTTGCCGTCATTGTTCTTTGATACCAAGGTACACTAGCGTGACTGGTATCTAACCCCCAACTTCACCAAGGTGGGATTACAAGGGTGTAAAACCTGCTGACTGAAACAACCAATCAGGTAGGTACTTTTCATTACATGAGTCACTGCGCAAGTGGTATGTGCATCTCATATCAAACGAATATACAACCCTTTTCGCTGTTCATAAGACAAAGATTGAGAGACTCCCCATTGATATATTTCTTCTTACTTCACTATCCGTACCACTATCAATTATAAGAATCATGTCGTCACACACAATAAAATCTGACCGTCTAACCCTTGAACCTATTAATCTGGACAAGCACCTCCATGGCTGTCACAAGATTCTATCCGAGCCTCGTATCGCGGAATGGTCGTAAGGCTCCCAAGTTAAGCTGTGGAAGTCTAAAGTGAACCCCGACCTTACATGACTTTTGTAGTACCCGAGCACCGAATACTCAACTCGAGCAGACAAAAGAAAGGATCTTGGAAAGTATGTCCAGCGTCCAATTTCCTATGTGGGCAATCATGGCCCCGACTACATCGTCCGTTCCAGTGTCCGTGGCGGATGAGAGAGAAGGGCAAGAGATGGAAATGATTGGTATCATCGGAATATCCCATAAACCGGAGAACGTGGGGTATAAGATTCATCCAGACCATTGGGGTAAGGGGTATATGACAGAAGCGTTGAGATTGTTTGTAGAGATGTTCTGGACTCTTGAAGGTTTGTCACATTTGCTTGTTAGAATTTTGAGACTAGAGCATTGCAATGAAGCCAGGACTGAAATTAATCTAGAAAAGAAGTCCTTGCCGCAAATTATAGCGGCTTATACTCCTGGTAATGATGCCAGTGCCAGAGTGCTCGAGAAAGTGGGTTTCAAGACTGGGAAACTACTTCGTGGAGAGATTGAGTTATGGTTTAATCGTGGTAAAAATCGGAAAAGCGATATTCAATGCATGTACATAGATCGTCCTGGGTCTAATTAATAATTAAATGGTCAACAACTCCTCCCTTCTCTATATTCAAGTCTTTGGTGTCTTCAACTTGATGTTCGGATCGATTTCAAGTATATGGTGGCCATTCAAGTTTCACATCAGCAAGCTGTCCGTACTTTCTACTATCGAACCAAACAGGGCTCATAACACATGATATGTACTTCTATGCATACTATAAAATAATCTCATTACTTCGACATTATTCTGATGCCTTTGCAATCCATTCCTGGACATGATGGATGATATGATAATCATGCAGAAATAATATATCGCTATCATCTGTCTCAAATAACATCATCTCAAATCTTGGTACAAGCTTTGTTGTCGCAAAGTATAGCTTGGCGCGTGCAAGCTCGATTCCTAAACATTCACGACCGCTTTTGCCAAAGGCGAATTGGAATTTGTATCACTCGCAATTCTCTTCCCGCAAATAGTGTTCTGAATCGAGTTCAAAAGGATCTGGAAAAACATTTTGAGCGGTTCGAACACCGAGAATAGTTGTGCTGCTCTGAGTACATGGAGGAATGATGTAGGCCTGCCCGCATGCTTGCCCGACGCGGAGCTGACGTATTGCAAAGGAGCGTAAGTTAGCTTTTCTTGGGCAGTACATGCTCTTCTAGCTACGACTCTGAATGATAGGCGATTTCTCTCTTCAATCACTGCTCATAGATAAGGGAGTTGTTCCAAGTGAAGAATATTACATTGTGTGAGGAACAGGCTTAGAGCATCGCACCTTCTCTTATTAGGGTCATAGCTTGCTATTATGCCCACACCACCTCCTAGTGGAAGATTAGACAGCTAGTATTCATAGTTGTCCCTATGAGACGTTATTCATGCATATACTCTGTACAACATCCTGTGTGTGGAGCTCGTCTGGAATGACACAAATGATGAGGCCTGATCCGTGCTGTTACATTACCAAACGAACTCAACGGCATGATTGAAAAACTACCATATTACTCGTAGGGATCTTAGATCTTGAAAACATATATTTCCTGATGAATAACATGAAAGTAGAACTCATACCACCAAGCAATCGCAGGAAGCTTTGATCCCGGTATATATACTAGGAGATAAAGATGAAATCGACCAAAAAGACTCACCATTAGCAAACATCAATGATAGGACGACTACCGTCTCGATGCCTTTGATGGACGCCATCTGCTTGGTCTTATAGCTCAGAAGCGCAAAACCATTTCTATCCTTTCCAAAACTTTGTCTCAAGATAGATATGCAGATGATGATGATAAACTCAAATGTGCAATATGAGAATGCAAATCAAGATCCAAAGAGACAATGCATTGATAAAAGAAAAGTAGAAACATAAATTCCATCTTTTTGCAACGTAACACTCATCCAACTGTTGGAGAACTAACGCCGCTCAAGAGTTTGGCATCGTGGTTGAGATTACCCATCGAGAGAGAACAACGTTTCGTCGAATTAGAGCTAGCCCAACTACCTTCTTTTGTATTTTGATTGTCTTTTCGATGGCTTGACTTGACCAAATCGTAGAATATAGGCACAGCAGGCCCTAAAGACGGAGACCTTGATGTACAATGTCATGCCTTGTATATGAGGCAAAATAGCGGCATGGCGTCGGAAACTAGACCGAGGCACTTGATTAATTTGAAGCTTCCAAAATTGTATGGAGTTCAATAGTAGAGAGATCAAGGCATTCTTTTTGTAATAAATTGGCACAAAATGACTGCCAGACTGCCAATTCAAGCATTGCGTTCATACAAAAGTATTCTTCAACAACCACCGCACTTTTCTCAAACATATCGACATCCGTTCCGATCACAATCTCTCTCAAAATGGTCAACGCGAGCATATTCAACACCTCCACCACCACAGCCTATAAATCATAACATTAATGCCACCACCGAGCCTTCATCTCAATCATTACCCCAACACCGAGATCTGCGATCTCAATTCTCTTCTGGATCCGTCGCGCCAATAGCCTCACCTTCATCTCCCAAACGAAAACGATCCCTCCGTCCCACAATCTATGCCTCTCTTTTCCTCCTAATCGGACTCACAGCTGGACAATATGTCTCGCTTGTCCTATCTCCCCCTGCACTCCCCGAACCTTCTTCTCCCTCAGACGAACTCATGACCTCTTGGTTACACGCGCAGGCCTCAAAGATCCCACTGGTACAATCCCTAACTGAGGATCCCGTTTGGCAATCTTGGGATGCCTATTCCACATTCACACCCGAAGAACGTCCGCACCGACTTACTACTGGTCCATTGGGAGGATCTAGATCGATAGGCGGTTACCAACGAGTATTTTACAATTCTACCACAGGAGAGTTCATATCGATTGTATACTTAGGAGGGGCATTAGGAGGATGGCCCGGTGTGGTGCATGGAGGTCTTATAGCGACGATTATGGATGAATCACTGGGGAGATGTGCGATCAGACAATTGGCCGCGGGGACAGGTGTCACTGCTCAATTGTCGTTAAAATATTTGAAGCCAAGTGTGACCAATGCATTCTACGTAGTGAGATGCACACCAGTCATAGGAGAGGAGGGAGGTGGAGAAAGAAAGAGATGGGTAGAAGGACGTCTGGAAACATTAGAAGGGAGAGTTTGTGTAGAGGCAAAGGGACTATTTGTCGCGCCGAAGAATTATAAAACGAGGGTAATCACGGCGGGCTTTTAAGAAGCTCCCGGAATGTGGAATCTTTAGATGGAATGAAGGGTGTTCATGAGCACTGACTGGCTACGCTTAGAAGCAACCACAGGTTGCCAGAATTCGAACCAATTCATCGAAATGTTGAAGGTATTCTCGAGGCCCATTTTAAAATACTTGTAGGTCGGAATTGGTGATAAGTAACACCAAACTACCAAGCAATATGAAGACCCCACAAAAGATCCAGTTTCTTCGCTTTACCGAATTGTTCTATTCCTCTAAGAGGGAATGGTCTTGTACTCTTATATACTAGATTGCTGGTAAGTTTATCACTGATCAATAAGAATGCCTGTCACATTCGTCGATTAGTCAATTCATAACCGATTTTTTATTCTCTACACTATTCACTCGTGCCCAAACTCGTGTGCTATTTCAGTGATATTGGCGAAGCGGAATCTCTTTACGACTACTGAAAGGGCTATCTTTTCCAATTAAGAGTTTTCCTCCCACAATATAAACTTCAAATACATTGTCGTCGAGAAACTCGGGTATTTGCGGGGGGGTTCTACTGCAACGCTTGACATAAGTATCCACAAGAAGCGGGTACATTTAACTCTATTCGAACGTCCAGCTGTGTATGACCAATGAAATCTATAGCAATCTGGATCGTTAGGTAATTTGCTATCCAAATCTTCAAAGCCCCCAAGACAACTCATCATGATAGCGATCACAAACTAAAGAATGGTATGAAGAATCCTCGGGAAAAGACCCAGATAATTAATCTATACCTGGACACCTTCGAATTCAAATCTATCCATGATGCTAACAATAGCCACATTTGTCTTGTTATGGAGGGATCCGGGACATTTTCTCGAGAATATGTGTTCATCCTCATACATCGATAGAAGATGGTCCAAAACTCTCAGGCCATCTCCCAGAACAATCATACAAATAGATATATTTGTCTACCTCGGTTGAAACCAAATTGAAGCTTGATGTCATTGAAATTCTTCAGGTTCCAGTGCGCAAGGCCGTACCTTCACATATGCCTACAAGTATTGCAAGACAGTTCATCCACCACTGAGTCTAATATCTGTGGTTTAATGTGTCTAGTAAGCACCACATTCATCGTGCCCTGGAGGAAGTAGTCAGATTTGTGAAATTATGACATCAGGGGAGCTTCCATTTGGGACGAGGATGTTTTGGTAACCTCTACTGGGATTTCATGTAGAGGTGGAGAAGTAGATTAGGATGTGGAGGACTTTGTATGGAGCAGCGACACTTAGAACGTACAATATAGAAGATTGGGAAAATTGAGTTTCGCTTTCATCATCTCACAAAGTGCACATTTTCTAGTGCAAATACTCACGAAGTCAAATGTCAGTATATTTGCAGGCCATATCGGTTGCATCAACCAGGAAAAAAATGCCTGTGTTATGGCCAAGAGTTTTTATTTGGTAGTGGATGTTGCCTTGTAAAAGGTTATATGATAAAGAATGTGATTGGAGCTCCCTTTCATCGACGAAGACTTACTCGAGGACATGAAGCCTGCTTCCATTAATGATTGCCAGGTGACATCACAGTCTGTCCTCAGAAACTTTCATCTTCCAAAAGTCTTCCTCTCAAACTCTGAATTACTTTGCACCCTCCAATGCTCCAAAGACGCTTGCCAAACTAGAGTTGGACGCCACTCCCGGTGGTAAATTCGCATTGCCTGTGCTGTTCGACTTTTTTGCTCCACCTGTGCTATTTCCACCAGATGCACCATTCAATGATCCAATAAGCGCGGCCAAGCCGTCGGTTCCGTTTTTGTTGCCACCATTACCGGTCTGTCCTCCTGCACCTTGTTGCGGCTGATTATTAGCACTCGGTGCCACGTTGATGCCGCTCCCCCCTCCGACATTTGTAGAGCCATCGGGCTTTTTCGTTATTCCCGCTTCCCCGCCAAGATTGGTTGATCCATCGGCACCAACTTTACCGGCTATTAGCATCGTGTCGTCGAAATTGGAGAGACCGCACTAACCTGTGATACCAGCTGATTCCCGTTGCACAGCCGGGTTGGGAAGCGAATGGATGCCAGCAACCAAAAGAGAGATGAAGACAGTAGAGAACTTCATGATTGAGAATTATAATGATTATAAGTAAGTAGGTATGCCAAAGAAAGACGGTTAGCCAAGTCTATTGGCAATGAAATAACGTATCAAAAAAGCTTATTAAATGAGTGTTTTGATGAAAATTGTACTTAGAAATGAACCAGTCATCCAAAAAAAATTAAAGAGAGAGAACCAAGAACTGTCCAAGAAATACAGATCTTGGGGAGAAGTTCTGTGATCATATATCAAACTCGACTTCTAAAAATAGCCATCGAAATTCAAACCCACCATTCTTCGCCTTGCCGATCTAGACTTCTGGAGTAGTTTAGTTCGCAAAATAATCCCAATTATAACATTTGGCAGATGCAAAGCTTTCTGACAGGGTTCCAGGACGTAATAATAGACGGAACGTCTGTATTTTGTGGCTTGCCAAGATGTGTTTAGAAACATGAAGTGTAGTCGATTAGGTTCAGCCAAGACCAAAAGAGAGCACCTGGTGCACGTGATTTCATGCGATAAATATCAGAACTTGTCAACTTCCAATCATGATACTATCGAGCTACCTAGATACATCAAAGGCCTACGCAGGCGTCTTAATTCTCGATTAAGTTCTCGGTTCTCCTTATCTCGATTTGTCTATCGTACCTCAAACTTCCTGCTCCAATCTTATGAGCGAGCGGAGCAAGGACAATCACATAAATGAATTTCAAAGCCACTGCCATGTCGTAAGATATAAATAAAAATAACAAGATTGTTGTGAAATACGACATCCAGAAGTCAGCACTTACCGATGAAGAAGATCGCCGGAGGGTTTTTAACCGAAACTTTGCGAGCAAGTGAGGAGATCGATTGTCCTCAAGCTGCGTAGCATAGCGTCCAGTATCCACGCCACTAGCGACAAAGAACGAAACAAATGTACTTTTATTACAATCTTAATATTGCCTCAAAGCCTTGTTCCATATTCTTTTTACCAGTCTTCAACCGCCTAGGTAACATACTTCCAAGTTCCTCATGCTTAGTAAGATGCTAAAGGGCAACATCAGGAAACTGCTTCGACACAACAGAGCTAGAGGACTCGGTGTGATTTCATGTCCGTCCAATTTTCCTGCTCCCATCCTCTCTAAAAATACCGTGAACTGGCATAACGAGCATCTACTTCAATTCGATTTTCTCAACAGTATGCAGCCTGGGTCATGCTTTGTGGCAAAGAACCCCGTGAAGAACCCCCATGGAACCAAGCAACTATGACAGAATTCAAAGCCAATCTAGCACCGTTTGAAGCTGGGAATAATTAGCACGTTGCAACTGCATCAAGATGATCTATTTGCTGACTTACAGTTCCTAAAAGTACATGTGACGCTTAGACATCCCCCTCTCCTCTCGATCCTCGCATGGCATTTCGGGCAAGCTACTGTTATCTTCTCGATTTTCTTTTGTGACTCTTCATCCTTTTTCAGAGGTGAGGTCGAATTGCTTGCAGGTTAGACCATTGTGCCATGGAGTTTGGTGATGCACACAAGTCAAGGCTTTGCAGCTCCCACAGATCATTTCCGGATCATCCCCCTCGCGAATTTGACCAGATCCACAATTTGGGGCTAAACACCAAAAGAAATTCGGATCTGATCGTAGATGACTTTGCAATGCAAGGTCGCAATATCTGGAAGTTTTATTATTATCGGTAAGAACCACAAAGAAAAGCTAAACTTACGTTGTAAACATCGTCTTCGTACAATATATTTCTATGAACCACTGCTCTAACTCCTGTGAGCAGATTGGACAAGTGAGGATATGCGATCCTTCACTCATAGTGAACCCCATGCTTTCTTGCAAACAAAGCAAGCATACCTCCGTGAGATAATCGCATTCTACTGTTATTGGTCCAGGTTTGTTGTCTTCCAAAGCTTCTTCGCCGAAAAAATCCAAACATACTTCGCACTTCTGGCGTGATCTCTTCTCTTCTTGCTTCTCCTGAACCTCGGATGCCTCAATTTTCTGTTCACTTCTTGAATTCATAGAATCCATTTCGTGTCTATTCCCATGTAGAAGTATTTTGACTGTCATGAGGGGAAGGAATAAGGCTTAAATAACCATATTCAAAAACCTCATGCAAACTACCGTACTAGACTCCCGTACAAGACCGACCTCCCGTACCTGTCGGTCTTGGATCTCGACGAAGAGATACATGGCGTCACGCGTTGGAATCTCATCGCGTAATGAATGAATTTCCGGATTTACCTGTCGCATAGTTAAAAAACTGAGTGAAAATCCAACAGTTTGAAATTCTTACCATCAAATATCAATTTTTTTGCAGATGATAACCCAACGGTATATACCAAAAACTCGATATGTATAGAATTCTGAGTACAGAATACCGGCAGGCTTTGGATCGGAGTGCACATGAATAGACACATGAATACAGTAGTGTGAACATCATGGGGTTAACCAAAATGTTAGGTTTAGCATTTAACATTCCGAGAAGTTCTGGGGTATTCGAGAGTGAGGAATTCGAGGGACAAATGATCAAGCATCAAAGGGTTCGTTGAGTAAAAAAGAAAAAGAAAAGACATTAAAGAAAAACCAATCAGTTGATCTATCTTCATTATTACCGTGTTGGTTAATTGCTCTCCTGTGCGATTCAGAGGTGACGGCCAGTCCAAGCTGCTACGATGTCAATTTCGTCAGAGACTAAAGGCACTTGTAGACCTTTGCCCGATATCTGCAGCCCTAATATGGTGAAGTTAGAAAAAACTGGAATTGGCACTGCTTGGGTACGCAATTCGAAAGAGGACACTGATCATTGGAGATCAATGCATCATATTATTATAGAACACTATTATTACATATAAACAGAAGGTCATTTCAAAGCCCATCTAGCCTCACATTGCTATCCTGGGACGCCAAATCCATCAATTCCAATCACAGTTTGACCAAAATTGCAATTCACAAAATACCGTGCCATCAATTAAATCCGTTCGTTGCAGATCAATTCCAATCATCGTGATGATGTTAAGCAAGAAATGAGAAACTTTCCTCCTTTCTCAGACTACTCGGTTTCTTCTTAACGTTCCAATCGCTACTTCTAACTTGTTCAACTCGCTTAGTCAACGTAGAAGGAGTCCGGCCTAGGTCTCCCAAAGGAAGGTTAACATTTTCCCAATCGTCTTTTTCCTCCACTGGTACATCCCATTCTTCAACATCTTCCTTGTTGTCAAGTGCTTTTTTCCGCTCCAATGCGCGCATGAACTCAATCATGACACCGAGACTTTCTATCAGTCCCATACTAGCTTTATCTCCACAATCGCAATCACATCCACCAGGACATTCGCTGTTACCGGAGGATCTATACTCAATTAAACAATGCTGATGTGTTGCACAGCCGCATGATAAGCATGGTAGGAATACCGCGCTAATAGGTTCTGTGCAAATTGTGCAACAAAGTTGGCGCTGAACAGTCTTACAACGATCACATCGTCCGGCAGCACCGCCGATAGAACTTAAATGGAGGGGATCCAGACGTGCTTCGTGCTTGAGACAATAACCCGCAATGTCTAGACCTTGATCAGTCGATGAGGCATGGATATCCTTTTTACCCAGAACTATTTGAGATGGAGGCGATGCCTCGTGGATCACAGTATGGCTATCATTAGACATTATCGAAGCAGCGAATGACTTATTGTCGGGAATATCCATCTCAGAAGTATGACTCCTTAGTCCATCATACTTTAAGATTTCTAATCTAGCCAAAGGGAGCCCCCAACAATAAAGCAGTTCGGCGTAGGCTTGACGATAGCTCATGTGACGAGCCGTGTGGTTACTATCCAAAAGTGTCGTCCCCATGCATCCTTCATCGTCAAACCCATTTTGATTTTCCAATGTCATCTTGATCCCGATACAAACCTTTGGTTTGAGTTCATCCATTGTGCTTTCATCATCCGAAAACGCCATTTGTTCGTTACCAACTCGTTCTTTTACGCTGCCGAGTACTGTTGTATTTCCCCAAGTAATAGCACTAGGAGCCAAGCTCAACATGTGTTCAACTGGGCTAGGTCGTTTCCGACTTGGTGGTGGGTTTGGTGGTGAAGATGACGCAGTCATAGAAAATGGACGCGAAAAGTTTGCAGCAAAACTTGATGCAAGACTCGAATTTCCACGTCGGAAGGTTCTCGGGTTTTCTGGAGAAGTCGACAGACTTTGAGTATGTTGAGGAAGATTTTCCGAGCTTCCCCTATTTGACCTTAGAGGGGGGGTTTCACCACAAGAATACGATGCCGAAGCAGGGTCACTGCCCCAAGCGCCGGTAGAAGATCCCATAGACCCAAAGATTCCAGAGGGCGTGTTGACTAATTTTGGTGTTGATACAGCAGAATCTACTGGAGTCTTTTGATACATACTCCAAGCTGCGCCGTTATTTGGGAAATAATCAACAGAAAACGCAGGTGTTTTCATAGAAAGAGGTGTCTGCGGCTGAGACATGCCAGCACCGGCATTTATCGCATGCGATGGTGCACCAGAAAGAATCGGCTCGCTAAATACACAAGATAGCATTGCAAGCATTTGAATGTCACGAAGCTCTTCAAAGTGCGCGAAGAGGTCTCCAATCAATTGCTTGGCAAGAGGACTGCTTCCCCACTTGACTCTACCAGAGAAGCTGCCACGTCTACGGTGCTTATCGTGAGATACATCGATACCACTGTCTGAGCCGCTATCACGACGATGTCTCTTTGCCATGCTCTCAGCTATTACTAGCACAGGCTCACGGCGTTGGCTTTGTTCGAGAACTTCCAGAGGTATATCATTGTGTAGCAGCATAGCAGCATATCTCCATACATCAGCCAATTTAGAGTGACCGTACTTGTCAGCAATACTTGCATTATGTTCGCAAAGATACGGACCGTTACCAAAGATGGTATATTCCTCTGCAAGGTAAACCTTTGCAGGAAGAAGATCATTTACATCACACAATGATATGATGTTCTTGGGCTTCACAGATCGTACCCTACTAAAGCCAGCTCCGGTGGCTGTATTGGTTCCAGTTCCTGTACCGATTCCGGTTCCGGTTCCACCGGACCTTTGGGACATTATCGTTGGCGATCCTCTCAGAGGAAATCGACGATTCGATCGACGCCAGTACTCTCTCATTGCAGGATATCTAGTAATACGGAATTGCGAAGAATCAGTATCGCTGCTGTTTGAAGAATCATATTCGTCTGATACCTCAGAATCGGCTTTACTATCTTCAGTCATTGACGTAGCCTTAATGCGTGGTTGGGGTGAACTGTTGTTTGCCAATCTACCAAAGGCATCAAAATTAGGTTCGCCTCTCGGTCGGGAATTTCTGGAGTCGGTGATTTTCTCGAGCAAAGACTTCACTTTATCTTCTTTTGGTGGAAAGAAACAAACAAGCTTGCCGTTCATTGCAAATCGAGCACCGCAAAGTCTAGGTAGTGGTACATTGACATTTCGTGGTATGCTGATCGTTTCCGCCGTAACACTGGAATCCAGCTCTTGAGACATCATTGCCGAAGCACCTGGAGGAATATCACTATCCTCTTCATCACTTGAGCTTTCGTCCGCAAGACCATCCAAATCGTCATCGTCTAAATCATCTATGTCATGAAAAAATATAGTACTAGTCTCAAGATCAACCTCGCCAAGCAAATAACATAGAGCAGCTTCCAGACAACCTTGCTTACGACTTAAAAAACTTGCTGCAATTTGGTGTACTTCTTTTCTAAGTTTATTGTAGGTTTCATCGGGCATAAGGGACGTTCTGCCAAGTGTAAAGGTGGGGGCTTTGGTCTCCGGATACTGGTCAGGAAAGGTGATTGTTGTCTTGATATAAATTGGTGTACCATTTTCACCCCATGGTCCATTCATGGAAACAACGACTGTCCTTTTATCCATATCAACGCCATCAAATGTAATTTTTGGAAGCTGGTCATTGATGCGTATAATCTCATCGTGCAAAGTCTCCGGCTCGTCCCAATCACCATCCTCTTCGAATTCAGGACTCAGCAAAGATAATCTTCTCGACAATGATCGCTTACGCCGCATTGATCCGTTATCAGGTTTCGAGAACTTGATTCCGCTCATCCAGCCAATCTGAGACTGATTTAGGTCTTCTTGCTTCGCTGCCTTTTCCTTTCCTCGCATGGCAGGGGCGCGGATTGCGGTATGAGTACGGGATGTGTGAGGCAAGGTCATCTTTTTCATCCCAACACTAAACGAACTCAACTTAAGACCAGAACTACCAGGTCGAGGACCTGTAATTGTGGCGGTCTTTTATCGCCTGCAGATGTTTCCGTAGTACGAAAGGTTTTGTAGACTGCTCCTTTACGTGTGAGATTGAGCTTTCCGTGTACTTTTTTCCCTTTTACATAACCAACTCCCTCAAGTGTGTCATGGTCTACATGTTGCATTTTCAATTGGTTGTCCTCGCCCCACGAAACTAGCTGAAATTCTCTATTGTCTTCTCCCTCGTCTGTGATGCTTCCACGACTTCGCCAGAGAAATTCTTTGACTTTTGAATTTCCATGCCCTGGAAAGGTAATAACTGCTTCCGTGATAGTGTCGGTAGAGTTATCACCCGTGATACGCCGGTCATAGAGATGAAGGTCTCCGGGAGTGTCCTGGGGCATAGCTAAGATTCCCCAACCAAAAGGTGTGTGTCGAGCTCTCCAGACTGGGAATCCAGTATGTATAGTGCGCTCTGGGATATCGGATTCGTTCTCATAATCCCAAAATTTAATTGTTCTATCCAAAGAGCAAGTGACTAAGCTTGAGGCACGGGTACGATTCCAATCAATGCCATATATTTTTGATTCATGTGCATTAATGGACCTTAACGGAACAGCGCCTTTCCTGTCATCCCAGATCCGTAACCATCGGTCATGCGATGAAGCTAAGATATGCGAATCCTGACGGCTCCATTTAACCTGTGTTGCACCAGCAAACCAATCACAAAAGCTCAGAACAGGTTGCCGTGGTCTACGTAGATCCCAACAATGTACATATCCATCAACAGCACATGTTGCCAGGATATCAGGATGATATGCCGAGAAATTTATGTCGGTAATAGCTCTTGTGTGCCCATGGAGTGTGTGTTCAATTGCGCCATGAGAAGCGTCCTCCTGCATGTTCAAATTCCAGACAAGAGCCTTCTGATTGGCAGTGCTAACCACCCAGTAGTCGCGAACTGCGAAAGGGCACCATTGAACGTCAGCCACAAGCCATGGTAGGCCATGTCGAAGATGTCGCGGGGGATTGAGAGGGGAATCAAGATCAATTATGTCTAAGCCATCGGTTCTGGACAAGAGAAAAATCTTAGCATATCACGAAATGCGATTTCTGAAGTACTCACGAGGCTAAAGCAACGTCGCGTCCGGAAGGAGATATAGTAGCGGATCCGACTTTTCGGTCTACATGAATAGACACATCTGCATCAAATGTAGTGCTATCAAAAGCCGACCTAATGGTCTTCCCCTTTCTCGACTCTTCCATCATCTTGGTGCTAAAGTTTTCGCATTCTCCAAATCAATACAATCACTTCGTACGGGAATGACTACGGGACGAATTTGATGATCGAGGTATGTAAACTTAAAAAGTGCTATCTAATTTGGGTATAGACATTCTGCAATCCTTGAACGAACCTAACCGCATACAGTTTTGGGAGAGAAGATCAAAACGATATTGTTTGGCTATGACGATTAACGGGCATGAAGATCTCTAAGTTGTTTCAATGGCAGGTTTGGATGACGATAATAAGGCAAGAGTTTGGTATATACTTATTAGTAACTGGAGATGTGAAACTGTCGCAGTTAGTGCTACATACAAGGTGGTACTAGCGTTAACCTTAAACGGGAGTTGCCGTTCAAGCCTTTCTATCAGCCTTGTGCATGGGCTGTGCTGTTTTAAGAGATTGATAGGTACATCAAGATAGCATCAAATTTTTGAAAAGGCCTCTTCTTTCTTCCTTTCTTTATCTATCGCCCTAAACTCAGCAAACCAATCTCACGGTGACTTTTTTACTGCGAATCATTCCGTAGACCCTTCAATAGTTCGTTCAACTTTTTCCACGCCCACATCTGTGGTTTCCGAGACGTCCAGAACAATTTCCCTTGATAAAGTACCCCACTACCCGATCTGAACGATACGGTACCTCTAAGGTTATCTTATCAACATCACGAGCACGAAAAAACCCCTACCTTTATTGGTGTATGTTGAGCCTTGGACTCGATAACTGCTAAAAGAGTAATTCAACTAAGTGCAAGTTCAACGGACAGTCAAGACAGAACCCTATCGACATGGCGGCTTTACCAAAACGGATCATTAAGGAGACGGAGAGATTGATGCAAGAGCCGTATGTGAATCTTTTGTGTTGGATCGTGCATGCTGTAACTAATGAAAACATACAGTGTTCCAGGTATCAACGCAGTTCCCCATGAGGACAACTTAAGATATTTTGACGTCTCGATACACGGCCCATCCTCTTCTCCATATGAAGGTCGCTACACTACGGACAAGTTTTAGCACTTTCAGTAGGCTAATGTGATTTACAGGCGGTATTTTCAAGCTGGAGTTGTTTTTACCAGATGACTATCCGATGACTCCTCCAAAGATTAGATTCCTTACAAAGATCTACCACCCAAATATTGATAAGCTCGGCAGAATTTGTTTAGACGTTCTCAAAGGTATGTAGCCTCATTTTCATGTCCCATGTCATGACTTTGCCTCACATTCAGTCGACTGACTCCGACTTGTTCAGGTAACTGGTCTCCTGCACTCCAGATCCGAACAATCCTCCTCTCGATCCAAGCTCTTCTCGGGGCTCCCAACCCGGACGATCCATTAGCTCCAGAAGTAGCAAAGAGATGGAAAGAGGACGAGCCGGCCGCAATTGCGACTGCTAGAGAATGGACAAAGACTCATGCTATGGCTTAGATCTGATCTAGTCTCATAGTAGTGAATATTCATACACGAATTATGGTTTAAATGAAAGGATGCGAGAGGTTTTCAGTATGGAAAGGCACTATTGCTGTGCGAGATGGCGTGGATACAGCGCTGAAACGATTAAGCGGTTTTTGGTAGAAAAAAATATCTCAAGACATTGCGCAAGCCCTTTTTGTGATTCTATTAGCATAGTTGAGCCAATTTCAATCAATGAGGTTTTGCCTTTTTTTCGTTACTAAGGGTCTCCATAGTCCATTCTTTTCCAGGGCTCAATTTTCGATCAGATTTTCGAGATATTTGAGATGGAAACCCAGCTAAGTTATCCCTCGTTTGAGATTCTATCTCTGTTCCGACAAATTCCCCAGTGGGAAAGGAGGTTATCAAACCACGAAAAACATATGACTGATTCAGGATTTTGCCAATCTATCCCCTCTGATTAGTATCAACTTCTAGATATCTGACAAGGCATCAATCAGTTGTTTGTCAGAACAGTGCTAAGATTACATTTTATCGAGATATATGATGGAAATTGGTGCCATCCAAAGCAGCGGATTTTTATCCGATCAACGTACGTGACCAAACACTAAGCCCTGAATACAAGTCTAGTTCCCTTTTATGACCAAACAACAAAACACGCGTCGCTAAGCTTATATGGTTTGAGGCGACTGGTTGGCTTGTTAGCAAAGATTGGATCATTGAAGGTTTCGACCAACTGTTCAATACCTCGGTGCCCGAGGTTGGACTATAGCACTGATTCGCGGTTTATGGTCGCCAAAAACAACTCGGGACATGAAATTGACAAATGGTTGGGTAGAGTGACAATTTTTGCAATGCAAGTCATTTAGGCTAACACGTAAAATCTATCCTGGGTTACTGTCAACATGTACCTATCGACGGTCACCATGTACATGCACCAAACGCTCAACCCCTCGAAGAATCTATCAAGTATGCAGTACTTGGAAGGGAGACTGGACCTCTATCATCAAGAGATTTTGAGGATGCTAAAACTGGTAAGGAGTACAAAACCAACCACGCATCACGCGGAATAGGTATTGATGAGGCTATATCAATTGCGAATTGCATGCGTTCTTCAAATACTGTGCTGTACAATTGACGCGAAATAGCCGGATTGACATTTGGGCAAAGCCGAGAACCCATCGACAAAGTAGACACGGTCAATACAAGAATGATCTACTACGTATTCACGCAGACGATTCGAGCAAAACAGCATCGTATTCATTTGTCCAAGTACAGAATTCGGACGTTTCTATTTTCCCCAGGTTCCCCATCTTCGATAAACGACTAACCTGGCACCCAAGACTTTAGTGTTATTTTCCAATCCACTTTAGGCTTACATGTAACATGCCAGTCTTTACCCCGCGAAATTCCACATTTTCGACCGAGGAGTTTTCAAGGAACGGCTGATGATCCGTTGCATCATCATTAAATCTTCCTATTTTTGGATCCCTTTCTTCGATAGCCGATTGTCATTTCTGTGGCTGCGGGCACTTGTAATTCTGTCGAAAAATGAGAGAAAAGAACATTTCCAGCAGGCTACGAGCTTGTAAGCGACGGTCAGAAGACTTGACCAAAACTCCATGTCAAAACACATATCTTTCGTATCCATCTCAAGATTCAGCCAAGTTTGTATCGAAGCCTTTTCGAGACCCTTCTCCGGGATGTAACTCCTTCAACTTCACTACCCCAGATCAATTGATGACGATGCGTGGTTACATTGAGTTCAATTGGTGCATAGCTTCTTCACTCCCCTTGTCAGAGAGCAAGGGCCCCTTATCAACACATGGGCCACCAATCCAACGAATCTTACTCCATACATTATTGCAGAAATCTAGCCCAACAATCTGGTCAATTCAATATCGCAGCATGTAGGTAGTGTATGATTTGGAAAGAAAGGCACAGGAACTCAAAAATATCCTTGCGGTGTACAACCTTCGTTGTTAGTGTTCCGTCGGACCCGTTTATGATGGTGGGAACGATTTTGATTCAATTCGTTGGTTCGTTCGATCACCATGAGAAAAGGCCGCTAGGAAGGCCAAGAGGGAAGTCCCTCCTCTTCATTTTCGAAAGGAATGCATTTTATAAATTACAGGCACAGAATTGATGGGGAGCTTGAAAATTTATACCTCGGTGGGTTGCTAAAGAGGAAAGGTCTCAATTCAGATCGCTCGACTAAGGTCGATAGTACAAACCATCAAATGCGCCAATAAATGTACCGGTCAAATGAGGATCTTCTCGAGATTGGGGAAAACGCCACTGAGCTAGCTTGGAAAACCACATTTGACAAGGGTATTATCGAATAGTGGTCATGCACCTAACAAAGTATATGAATGCGTCTTGAGATATATGGAGATTAGCATGGCCCCTAGGGATAAGAAGGTAAAGATGCCCATGGTTTTTCTTCCAATTGCTCCAGACTTCTTCAATTCTGTTCCCTACATAAATCTTTCATTCTCACTGTAGGACCGTACAACCAGTCTTAACATCTCTCTTCTTTCTTTTCAATCCGATTATAATATGGCTAAAGAAGATTCTTCTCCTCCGCTTCAGTCGGACAATTCAATGTCAGGCTCACTCGATAAGGACATTGGCCCTCTTGGGGCCAATACAGCAGACCACGTGGAAGTTGTCCGTACTGTTTCCAGAGTCCCAGGAAATGCGCATTACTACGAGAAAGATGGCGTACGAACATACGGAGACGGTGAAGACCATGATCGTGAACCACCGGTAGGCATGCAGAAGATGTGTTCCAAGATCTGTGGCTAAACAGTGCTCCATAGATGACCATGAATCGAATGATGTCTTTAGTTGCAATGGCTTTCTTATGGACAGGTTCCCAGATACCAGTATATCTTTTCGGTAAGTTATTATGTTACATCAAAATCAGTTTCGATCTGATAGTATTTAGGTGGTATTCCACCATATATCTACGGCGATTTGGGGGGGTCAGACAGGTGGACTTGGTTTGTGTTATCCAATCTACTCGCTTTGGCAGCGGTTTGTCCATTTGTGGGAGCTTTGTCAGATCTATTTGGCAGAAGGTACATTGCCATCTTTGGTGCTGGTTTGATTGTCATTGGAATGATTGTTTGTTCCACAGCACACTCCATGAACGTTTTCATTGGTAGGTTTTGTGCCAAAATCACATCACAATATACTAATCATTCCAGGTGGTATGGCCCTTGCAGGCGCAGGCGCTGGCATAAACGAATTAACAGCACTTGCTGCGACCTCCGAACTTGCACCAACAGCAAAGCGTGGAAAATATGTCGCCGTTCTAATCTTCACTATTCTACCATTTACCCCATCCGTACTCTGGGGTCAGTTAATCGCATCGCATTCGAGCTGGAGATATGTGGGACTGTTCTGTGGCCTCTGGGCATTTATGGGGCTCGTTATAACCGCAATTTTTTACTTTCCACCCCCCCGAGTTAATTCTGACGGCCTCTCACGCAAAGAGATTATATCTCAAATTGACTTTGTCGGCGGGTTCCTCTCGATTGTTGGTCTGATTCTTTTCGTCGCTGGTCTTCTATGGGGTGGATATCAGGTAAGTAATCCTATCTTAACTTTTGCAAACTAGGAAAAAGCTCACCAACGAAATCCAGTATCCTTGGGCATCTGCACATGTTCTTGTTCCACTCATCCTCGGTGTTGTATTCATCGTCGCCTTCTGTTTCTGGGAGGTCTATGGCGCTAAACATCCCATGTTTCCTGCTCGACTCCGAAAAGAACCGCGTATCTTGGCTCTCACCCTCGTCATCACCTTTATCTCGGGTGCAAACTTCTTCTCTGTTCTTCTTTTCTGGCCCACACAAGCTTTCAATGTCTACGGACATGACCCAATTGGTGTCGGAATTCGAGGTCTTCCTGTTGGCTTTTCCATTCTCGTCGGAGCATGCGTTGTTCTTTGGCTCTTATCTGTCTTCCGCGGAGGAAACCGTATGCTCATGATTATCTCATCTTGCATGATGACCGCAGGATGCGGTGCCCTTGCTGCTGCTGACCGCAATAACATCAACGCGGTATATGGTATTCTCGTCGTAGCTGGCCTTGGAATTGGTGGTATCGTAGGTGCGTATTCGGCTTTCACGCTCAATCTCCCCAAAAGAAATTTCACCGCATGATTACTGACTTTCCAATTTGAATGTAGTTCCCGCCTCAATCATCACCACTATTATTTGTCCCGACGACTTGATCGCCACAATCGCAGCACTTACGCTCGCTATTCGTGTTGTGGGTGGAGCGATTGGTTACACAACCTATTATAACGTCTTTCTGACCAAATTCATTCCCGAACTTTCCGTCAAAATTGCTCTTGCTTGCTACAAGAATGATATTATCGACTTGGAAATCATCAGCCATATTGCGGAATTGACCGGCGCAAGTCTTCTAGACGAAATCTTGCCGCTGGTGGGTAACAATGTTACTATCTGGAATGAAGTCGTGCTTGCAGGTCAAGAAGCTTATGCTACCGCATACCCATGGGTATACTACGTCAGTATTGCTTTTGGAGCAGTTTCAATTCTTGCAAGTATTGGGTTGGGTGATATTAGTAAATACATGGATGATCACGTCGCAGTTGTCATGCATTAATCTTTTCAACGATGTATTATATGAGAGGTATATCCGGTTGATCAAGTGAGCGCCGGTATAGAACTTGAGTAGAGGGGGAAAAGCAGCATGCAAATGAGGTGTCAAGAACCTATTTGTATATAGCAATCAGGGCATTAATAGTGTCCATATCATGACTTAACGGAAACGATTCAATTAGATAGTAAATTTAAACGATAAACATTCAGAACTTCTTCTCCTTTCCTCCCAAGCGAGGGAATCATGTAGAGTCTTCAACGCGATTGATTCGCATCCCATCATTTTTATCTCGCTACCTCTACACCTTAATCATCCTTCAATAACTCCACTATTGTACAAGCACCTAAATAGGTATTCAATTACCAAATCCGAAAAAAACAAACAGTCACGTGTCCTAAGTGTTGGTCTCCAACACACCACCTTCACTCTCTCTATTCACTCCACATCTAAATATCAATTTCTCTTACAAATTCCAAGAGATAAACCTCTCAGATGAAACATACATGAGGCAACACTCTCCCATTCCTTTCATTTTCTCAATATGCACAAGAAGCTCAAGTGTGTGCTTAGCGCTGACTTGTGGCGACTTGTTGGAATTTTTGTATCTAGGTAGGAGTTGGTGGGATTAGGTAGGCAGACTTTGAATGTTGAAGGGTGAAAGAGTTGGTGAGATTGGGAGGGAGGTTGGGGCTTGGGGAGTTGTGTTGTGTGGATTTTTGTTGGCTTGAGAGGTGAGGGGAGGAAGTTTCTGTGTTGTGGGTTTGTGGAGTTGAGTTAGTCAGAGTGATTGTAGCCTTGGGATGTGGAGAGGATAGGGCTGGAGAGTGGCCGTCAATTTGACTTGTAAGTTGGAACGTCATTTTGTATCTGGAAATTTGGAATTTAGTGTAACATGGTCGATTCAAGAGATTTTGTAATATATATTTTTTGGGGGGGGGGGGAGGGATAGATGGTGAATTGTTGGAAATCATTGCTTTGAAAAATCTGAGAAACTCTCTTTTAGTATTTGGATCTTCAAAATGGCTTATCCTCAAGATATCTTTTTAGGAACTTTTCGTTGTATGATTTTATATAGACGTCATCTCATATTGCTGTTCGGTTAAGTCTTGTGCAGATGGTCAATTTAAGATCTCTGGTCCTTTGGAGAGAAAATCGGAAGTTTCTGGCCGTATGATACCTATATGAAGTATGCTTTTTGGGGATGATTTAGATATGATATTAAATTATTAACATGCTATAAATCTTCCGCTTGTGGAAAAAAACAAGATATATTCATGCAAAGCCACAAATATCTGTAGATCGTAGAGTTCTCACATCCTCTTCTTGAGCAAGGCAGTCAAATAATTATTTACATGGTCCGCGCTTGCGAAATGCAACATAAACTTATTAGGCACACTCAAGTTGCCTATTTGTACTACCAACTTTATGGGGCCGCGGCGTCGAATCCTGGGCGCGGCAGTGTTCTTTGGCGCCGGGAGATAGTTACGAGAAAAAGAAAAGAAAAAGGTGCCTAAACACACCCTGCCTGTGAATCAGATCTGCAACAAAATGTAAATGGTGTTTGGGTATCACGAGGTGGATTTTGTAAAGATAATTTGTGATCAGTGTATATTTTGTAGGCATTATTCAGGACCCCGTCGCCTATCTGTTTTGGTTCATTGCGTGGAGTCTACTTCTCATCCTCGATTACTAGCTGGTAACTTCTGTACATCCGTCCATATTCGTTGTTGTGTGCTACATCAACGTCCCCCAAGTTGTTCCACGTAGTACTTGTACTTAACAACCTCATACCTCACAAACTCACCACTCTTCATCCTTACCCCTAGCATCACTTTCCTGAATCTGTCAGATTCAACCGCAACTCCACCTACATGACCATTGATATGTGAGCCGCGTATAGATTTCGAGTCCCTATAAGACTCTAATTGTTCCCTGCTGAAGCACCTCAGTTCTTCATTCAATAGATCAGCTGATAGATCAGAGCCTTTCATATGGTTATCGTTGATACCATCGAGAACGAGGAGAAACTTCATTCCTAAATCTTTGTGCTCGAATCCTCTGTGGGCCATAGGATTGAAGAATTGATGGTTAGTAGAATTCTGATGGGCCTGAAAATAATCCCACATGTGAGGAAATGAGACGATGCATTTGACTTTGACCCAGCCAGTACATAGATTCACTTCTTCGGGAGAAGTTATATGTGATGCTTTAAACCATGATGCTGTATGTTCTCCCAGTTTTTGGAACTTATATATGGGCTTGGTTCTTCCGAGGGGATCATCTACGCCTGTAGTGAGGAAGTGAAGATTCTCAGCATGTTTTGATTCTTCGATGATGTAGAGCGAGAGCGAAGATGTTTGCGGAATAACTTCTAAGCAGAATTTGCGGAAACAAATCTTCGTGATAGGTGCCCTGTCGAGAGCATCTTGAACAGTCATTGGGACGCTTTGTCTTTTGGAATCGAGAGGCTGAAATAGTGGCCTTGGTATGGCGGAAGGCTTGGAGGAATCGGTCCAAAGATAGGCCTACACCATGATCAGTATGGATAACACTAAATCTAATTGAATTTCATTATAAGCATATGACTTACACATGTGGGAATCTGTCCGATTTTGATAAACAACCTGTAAAAACACGTTGTGTTATAACCTAGGTCCGATATCAATCTTGACGTTGTACGCGCTATATCCTTTGGTGGCACCCCATCCTGAGGGTTTGCTATCTGCATCCACTTTGACTGGATGGATGTTATACCTTCACCAGCTCTAACAAAAGACATCAGCTTTGCTAGCTCACCGTTGTATAATGAAGGTAGACACCCTTCAGTTGCTAAAAAGGAGTACTTAGCAATCAGGATCTTTCGAGCTTCTGGTTTGAGATTGTCCCGCACTTTGATAGCAGTGGAAACGTTCTTTAGCCACGAAATCCATGGCTGATATAATTTGGCATGAGGTAAAATATCGTTCATTAAAATTGCGTGTGTCTGAGAGATTGTCTTCTCGTTATTGTCCGCTAGTATTCTTTCTAGAACTTCCGCGAGATGCTCCGATTCCGTTGGCCCACCGTAAGCTCGAACATGACCCAGAACACTAACGTCCATGTGATCGTAAGTATCAAAACTTCCAGATTTGCGTGCGTAGTAGGTTAACCATTGTTGAGCAGTCTCGAGGTGACTCCCGAATTCTTCTCCGAGTGGGCGCCCCACAAATAACTTCCTTACATTGGCTACTGCTTGTCTGTAATAATCCGGGACGATGTCTTCGCCTGGCCAGATAAATGGCACAAGTGTTCCATCGTCTGCGAGATAGCAAAGATTGCCGAAATCTCTGATGAACGTCTCGCATATTTCGCAGGACATCATTCGACGCTTATTGGGTAAGCCGCGGGAAAACATTTCGTAGATGATGTTCATTCCAAAGTCCCTGCCTGTTGGATCTGACTGTCTAAGATCCGCATGGAATAGGGGCCCTCCTCTATTTCTTTCGTTTCGGGTGACGGTCAGCTGCATTGCTGCTACGAGAGGTTGGATTGCGCGATCATCTGCGCTCAGTTCGGAGATATGATATCCATCTGGGAGATCTATGATCTCAAACTCTTCCTCCATCTTGAAACAGTTTCCTATCTGTACTATCATGCATTTCTTTGATTTGGGATAGCATGGAGACCCTTTAATAGATTTAATTCTTGAAAGACGCCATGATACAGCCAGCAAAGGGTGTGCCGTAGAGAGCTGCTCTACGGTTCTATCACACTTGACACAACAAACATCTTTTCAATGTTGATGTTTTAGCCCATAATGAATATACAGGAGCAGTACAAATACACTTGTATTCAGGTTTGAAAGGATTCTCGAGACTACCACAATCAAGAAACTTCTTTTTGCGGTCTCAAAGTTGGTCCTTCGCCCACACAAGCGAAGTATATCGCACTCCAAGTTGACCACACATCCATCTCAGCTTATTATTTTGACATGACAAATATACAAACATGTATAGTATCATATATACCTATTCGATTGCTATTAATCCCTCTCTTATTGCGAGTCTTGCAATGAGTAAGTAAACGTAAGAATGATAGCAACTCAAAAGCACGTGTCAGTAACGTGATCGGGTACAGAATGTTTCCTCAATCATAACAATCTCGGCTACTGAAGAAATTATTAGTGGTCCACAGCTACTCTTTCGATCTATCGATGTTTTATTGCTGTTGATTGGTGTCAAAACAGTGATTTGAAAGATAGTCTCTTGGAACATGTACTGAACATACAGCCCCTTGAAAGCAGAAGCCATTCACATCATTTCCACGTGCGATCCCCGTATTTTAGTGGAGTCGCGGATGTGGAACGGAATATACCCTAAATGAAATTTGTGATATCTCGTGCATTTATTATTATTATTTCATCTAAATATATAATCTCGATTATGGTTAAGGTTAAAGTTATGGGCAATGATAATTTGTTCTCGCACGAGAGAATCGAACCCACCCGGGGACCTCGGGGACTTCCAATGTTAATGTGCTGCGAAGAAGCCAAGAAATTTCGAGACGATCTTTTTTGACAGCCAAAATAAGCTTACAACGTTGGAACTTAGCAGAAGTGGCAAATATATCATATATTTAGGTAACTTCCCAGTCTGAGGAATGCGGGCGACTGAATGCAGGTAATCAGATCCAAATGGATTAATAAAGTGCTCTGCGACTCTCGAGTTAACGATTTGTCCTGCCGGTACAGGGGTTTTGACCGGATACGGCGTCAAACTTTCTTCGTTGAAAGCTTGAAGCATGGCAAGTAAGCATTCCCGGCGCTTAAAATTGTGAATTACGCTCAATTGACCCAACGATCTGTGATTCCCCATATCCACTTTACCGGATGCAGTGCGTGATGGCTTGAAACCACTACGGGTCGTAGCACTAAAGTCATCCCACTGTTGAAGTTTGAATAACTAGCATACCTCATTTTCCAGCAGGCGAAATTAATTTGGCATGGCTAAATCATTCAATGGCCTCAATTGTCAGTGCCATGTCCAGAATTGTTGATTTTCCTCCTAAAAGAACACGGAGCCGAGTTCCCATCACCATTTCGATCATTGTTGCATGCTCCTAGCCAAGACCTTTTTTCTTGAACTAAACCATAGGAGTCTTTGGGGTCCGTAAGACTTCTTGGAACATCTCGTTTATTTTTTTTACGAGTATCCTTGGAGAGGTCCACATATGATCCAAGCTGTTGAGAAGCGCTCAAACTGATCAGCTGTGTGGGTCGTTGATGGGGAACGGATATCAAGGATATCACGGTCGTTCGCCCTTCTCATCGTATCCTCGCTTCTGAGCTTTGTCGAAGGAAGTCGTTTTATGAATACCTCCCCTTCCCTTTTCTTCGGAAGTACCCATACAAAGTTTCAACTTACGTGATGACCTGATGTCTGGACACAGCGAGTTGGAGGTTGTTAATCAACCTTTCGAATACTATGGTCCACAGCAGCATGATAAATTTAGTCCCGTTGTTGACGGCAGCAGGCAAATAGATGAGAATGGGCGCCCATACTATCAAGAAGAGACGAAGTTCATAGGAATGCCGGTGTTTCCTGCGGAACTTCCATTCGATAATTATAACCAGTCCCCAATCGCACTGTCGCACAGGACATCGTCAAATCTATCGGCCCAACAATATAGCGCTTGCTCGGAGGCTCCATCATCACCGGCACTACACAATGCACCTCTGATCAAACAGCCAGTGTCGACGGAGAAAGAGGCAATAGTGTATACCGAGGATACGCAGAAGAAACGAAAAGTATGGAAGTGGTATATCTTAGCCGGTGTCATTGGATTGATCGTAATCATAGCGGCAGTGGTTGGAGGAGTTGTTGCATCTAAGAAGAAGAACGTAGCTACTGTCGATGAAACATCTGGTAGTACAGAATCTTCTAATAGCTCATCATCCACGCCTTCGTCGACGAATCCATCGACAAGCAACTCACCCACTTCAACGAACACTGCATCATTGGCGAGCTCTACTATTGCTCCATTCCAAAGAAATGTTGCCGCAATATCCTACGAGTCCAACAACGTCAATAACACTAGAGTGTATTATCAAGACAATCAAGGAAACATACTGGAAGCACATAATAATGCATCGAGTGGGAACTGGTCGACAAGTCATGTTGTTACCGCCAGAAATGGTTCATCGTTTGCTGCCGCTGTAACGATGCCTCAAAACGATTTTGTAGGTTGTCATATTTCCGGCAATAAAGTATCTACTAACAGGAATACAGGAGATCACTCTATTGTACTCAGATTCTGACAATCTTCTTCACGACATCATATATAATGTCGCTTCAGATTCATGGAGTGAAGGAACCTTGTCTTCCGAGAAGTACATAGTGTCCGAGAATGCAAGTGTTGCGGTGATGTACTGGCAATGCAGATTATGCAGCAATACCACCATCATCGCTTTTCAAGATGCGAACAACAAAATGCAGGTTGGAAATCTGACTGCCTCGGGCTGGGATTTGACCCAGATCATGGTTGACGTTGTAGATAACACTGGTCTTGCCTTGCAGCCATTTTACCGTCTAGGCGAAGCAGATCAGATAAACTTGTACTACCAAAATCCAAGTAGCGTCATGACTATTTCAGCTTGGGAGTATCCCAGTAAGTTTTTTATTTTTAGAATTGTTTCCATACATTTCAGGCTAACGAGACCCTTTAGCTCAAGCTTGGAAGTTAGATGCCGCATCGTACTATTCCTTCACATTCAACATGCCAATCGCGGCATCTGCATCTTACTCACATGTTGACTGGACTGGCGACGTGAAAACCGGTTTCGAAAGCTGGGGGGAAACACTCGTACTATCGCGTACTGGTATTAAAACAAACACGTATTCAGGGGCTATTAATACTTGGTCGGCGATGGGGTCTCATCCATCAGCGATGGCAAACTCGACACAAAATCCAAAAGTATTCAAATCCATAGCAGTCACAGCGATTGGAGCTGCGTTTGCGGTTGTGGAAATTGATGGGAAAGCAGATGAGATCGAAGCGTACCAAGTGAAAGATGACGCGATAAACTGGGATACGGCTGGGACCGTCGATATTGGCGATATCTGGGGGTAAATGAAAAAATATATATATAATGTATGTGTTTATGGAATTATGGATTCTTGTACATAAATTAAATTCGAGGGTTCGGTGCCCCTTTCTTTCTTTCGCTATTATCGCCTTGGATTTCCATGTTAATGGTTTGATGTCCATTTCTTTCTTGATTTTCGATGTCTGTACAGGAGAATCGCAATCATGAATGAATGGTCGTATCCTGGGGTGAGCTGATTCCTTCGTTCGCCTCACCGAATCCATAAGCTGCATCATACCCTTGCAATCACCTACCAACTCGATAACGCCCTTTTTAGCAGACCTCGTAGCTTTAAAGCAGCGTAAAAAAGCTCTCTCACCAATATATGTTTATGGCTTATCCTCAGCAAGACCCTACGCCAAAATTTACCTCATTTTCTCTTGAAATCTATCCCGCTTCGAATTTTCATCGCCGCTCTTTCAGAACTTCAATATCATCCGCCCTTTTCGACGCCTTGCAAACAAAATGGACGGCAGCTACCACCTAACACCCGAGAACATCACCGCCGAAGCTTGGCAAGAATGGGTTGATTGGGCTTTCGCGAATCCAGTTGACATGGGCACAGAGTGAGTGGCTTAAAAAAAAAGCTAACTCATAGAAAAAGGGCGATCCCGAATGTAAAGAAGGCTGAATTGACGCACTATCTACTGTATGTACAAATTCCTTCTTGGCATATAGTATGGCTTTGCTCACAAACAATAGCCAATGTGGTTACGGAGCCGGGCTCACATACCCCAACACAACCTGCGCTACTTGCTCATCAGAACTCGACACATCAGGACTTACACTTTACACAACAACCCAGGAAATCTTTTGTACTAAAAGCAAGGCCCTCAATCATCCACCACTATCCTGTGTGCAAGGCTGTGCGTTAAAGTTTCATACATTGGAAAATCTCAGGGAGCATTGCAGAATTACCAATCATGAAGCTCTCTGCTGCCCCTTCCCAGGATGTATCGTTGCATGGAATGCTTCTTCCCATGGTGAACATCACCTGAAGAAATGCCACGGAGCAATACAACTCGCATGCCACCAGTGTGGGGGCGTATTTAAAAATATGGGCCATCTCGACCACCATGCCTATCGTAGCGGACATTCTGCATATATTTGTCGATATCCTGATTGCGAATCGACAGCTGGGAGACTCAGTGACTTGATTCGGCACCAAGCACGTCACGAGGAAGATGTTCCCCGCCATCCATGCCCCCATTGTTCTACGTAAGTACTCTCGTATATTTGAGTTGCGAGATGGTTGGATTTGTTAATTAACACGTTTAGATATCGAGGCAATGACGGGTTCAAGAGGAAGGATCACCTCAAGCAGCACATCGGAAATTATCACAAGATTGAGATCCGCCATACTGGCCTCATATTTCATTCTCCATTTCTCTGCAAACATGTCAATTGTCAGAGCCCTGCTGCGATTCGTACTCAAGATCTTAGATCTCTCACCGACCTCACCCAGCACATGCTTGTCGAGCATAACTCCTCTGCATTTATCTGCGATAGACTGTCCTGCGATCGGGTAGGACTAAACGGTTTCAACACAAATACGCTTCTTCGGGATCATATCAAGAAGGATCACCCCTCACCATTCCAGTGCACTCACCCCGGATGTGATCGGGTCGGTTCCAAAGGCTGGCTTCGAGAGAGAGACCAGAAGAAGCATATGTTCCAGAAGCACGGAATCAGTGTCTGAATGTGATGATGGAGGGGTCAGCCTGTCTTCTTACTCTTAACACCACTCGCATGTCAACGGCTGTCTGGGAATCTTTTTTTAATGTTCGTCTTTGTCTTGTTGTTCGATTTGTTACTCACTTGAGTCTCTGTTTGGTCTCTCATATCATGTCTATTTCATTACATTTGAACTTGCGTAACTCTTTCAATAAATCAATACACAAAAACAGAGGAGTGATTTCTGACTTAGCAAAGAAAGGAGGGAGAAGGACAGGGAATTTGAAGTGTTTTTCTTATTGTATTTCCTTGTGCTCTTTGTCTTTTTTATGGCTCTATTATGTTACGTTGTCTTTTGTCGTTGAATTATGGCCTATTAGATATAGATAGAATACAGTGACCTTTACAATTACCACAGCTTTCCTTAATTACTGAGCACTAAAGCACTCTTATACTGTATCATCTAATCGTTCAAGTTCATGCCGCACACCATTCTCAGAACCTTGCACTCACTCTTGTGACCTTGTTCATTCCACCCTTTAGTTTGACATTCCTGTATTCATAGTCAGCCCATCATCCACTCAGAAACTGATCTCCCCAGACATGAAAACATACCTTGCCACAATACCAAACTTCGCTGCAACCTTTACATCTCGAAAGCTGCTCCTCACTATCTTTCCTCTCACATGATTGACATGTCACCAGAACCCCTCGGCTGTCTTCTTCAGTACTTTCACGAGCTTTAATAAACCTCTCACTCATTCCTAACAGTTTATCCAAAGAGGATGGTATGATCTGCGATTCTTCATCAGCCTTGAATCAGGTCTGAAGAACGCAAAAATAACTCACAGTAAGATCACTCCACCCACACCTGATATACCCCTGTTTTCCTTCTCTGACCCCATGCCTCCTCGGATTCGGCACTACAACTGTGTGTCCTTTCTTCAATTTCTTGATATCAAAATCATTTCCATCTCCACTCATGCTCCCGTTTCCACTTCCCTCCAATTGCGCAGGCGTCAATGGCGACTGGAGAATAATCGTTAGCGCGAACGACGCGCTAGCAGAATCTGTACATATAAAAGTTGGTGTGGTGGAAAGCGTCATATTCTGGTAAATGGTTGCTAAAAGATATGTTTTTCGGGGGGTCCCGGGTGAAGTCTCATTAGGAGATGCAGTGGAGGAGGGATCGGCGGTGGGGTTGAGAGGACAGGTGGAGAACGTTAGGAAGGCGGGGGAGAGGAGGTTGGGGAAGTCGGGGGACATTTCGAGGAGAATTGATGTCGGGACGTGATTGTCGAATTGAATTCGTGAATAGTGAAGTTGGGATGCGAGGGAGTTTTCGAAATTGATAACAGCGAGACGACTGATGAGAATTTTGGGATGAAACACACCATGAAACGTGCTGATATGAAGGAGCTCAACCCTCAGGTATTTTGGCAAGTCATTCGATTTTTCTTGTTCGATTGATTGAAGATCTGTTACAGATGCTCAATCTAACCACCGACACGAGAAGACTGGACGAATAGTATCTCGTATCAACGATGATTGAAAAGATCATTCTCTTCACATGCTAATCACGTGTAGTACTGAAGATCGTTATCATGAAATGGAGTGGATAGGTTTTGATTTGACATGCAAAGCAAGTCAAATCCAGTAAGTTGAGTTGTTCAATGTAACGGGGGTGGTAGATCCCTCCCGTTTTACGACTGGGCGGAAAACATCTCTCCACCTTACTAACAATATGGCCACTCATCATTCCACCACGGAGACTCACCGGTAATCACCAAATTTTCGGTGGAGCAGCGGATCGAGTCAGTCGTCATACATGCATAACCATGATAATGACAGTGTACGACCCAGTTCTGATATTTGAGAATCAATCCCACTCACGTTTCTACAATCAATTCCGACGAAGTTGTTTCCAAGAATCAAAAAAGAGATATCAATATGTCTGCCGATTCAATCACCTCTACCCGAAGCGGGATCCCTCCCATCCTCAAATGCCCATACGAGATTAGGCTAATGATCTACCGAATCCTAATTCCTTCAATTGACCCTTCGGCAGACTTCGACTGGACATCGGCTTGGGATCCAAACCACCCGAAATCTCGCTGCGAAGAGCATAAACTCTACTCACCGCCGATCCTTCACACAAACCAAATGATTTATCGAGAAGTCTTGAACGAACTTTACTGTTTCCTACCTTATCGGACATCAATCAGCAATTATGGTATTCGATTCTTGGGCTACACATTCATCAAGCCGCCCCCAGCTTTTCAATACGTACACACCCTGGATCTCACGATTCAAATCAACAGCTACTCTCACTCAAAGATTGCCAACATCTTAAAATCTTGTGTGGAGACTAGCTGCGCAAACGGACACTTACGTCGATTACAAATTGGTCTCTCCTTTAGCTTACAATGTTTTCAATCGAATAGGGGGAATTCGAGTGATCTTCGAAAAATGTTGGAGAAGAATCTCTATCCATTACGGAGGAACCTTCGTCGCCTAAATCAATTCGTCATCAGGAGAGTATCGGATAAAGACATTTCAAGTTCCAATCGAAGTGTTTCGGGTTCGTTTCTGGTACAGAGAGAAGAGTTCTTGGATACCGTCCAAGGGTTTTTGAATCAGTTGGCAAGGGAGGTGATGGATCGGTGTAATCCTGCCAAGACAACTGAGTGCAATTGCAAGTCGTATGCTTTGCTTCAGAGATGAAGGGGGTGGCGTGGACATTTCGATAAAAATTTGTCTTGTTTCGCTTATTATGGCAAACTTCTATCCGTACTGGAACTTTCAACCATCAGACGACTGTGAAGGATGAGAACACTGGGACCTCAAATATTGGATTCTTCTCCGCATCTCTACACAAACTATATTCCGGATCAGTTCTACAGCATTCCGATAAATCCCAACGCACGTCGTGTCTGAAAGATACAATTGTTTGTTTCAATGAAGCCTACTTCCTGACATTGAAAGCTATCGTATCTCAACCTACCTCAGAGATACGCATTGTATGCCACGCGTACGCCTCGACTTGGTGGTGATGAGGGATATCTCATCTCATTCACATAGATGCAAACAAGAAAGAAAGTTTATACGCAATCAAATTTTTGAAGAACCATCTTGATTTGTTTCGAAAAGGTCCGAGAGCTGGTGAAGGGTTTCAAGTCACGATAATTGAAGGACAATGGACGATGTATGCGGGGGGCCATTTAGTTAAATTGAGTTTGAAACAAAATTTCTTCCAGAGAGCTTAATCAAATAGAGTAGATAGAAAGTTTCAATAGATTGTCTGGTATTTTTGTGTTAGTTATATTCTGAATTTTTCCCAAGCTTCACAACATTGAATTTCATTCTCCAAAAACAAATGTCCGGGCAATCCACGTGATATGTAAAAAGGCTCCGGCTTCATTCGCGCCACGCTTGAAGGCCACACCACCTCCGGTCTTGGTAGTATTAGCAATTAGCCTAATCCAAGCTCTTCACTGATCAAACAACACCACATGGATGCAGGCTTCGTGTTTACTCGGAATCACCCGACCGTTGAGATTTATCTACGAAATCTGTGGAAACCTCTCCAGAAAAAATACATCTGCACGGTGCTCGGTGTTTCTAATGAGACGACGTTTGATTCCTACATCAAACCATAGCCTCTTTTACGCGCTTTAAATGTCAGCAATCACTTGAAGCATGGGCTTGTACCTCATGACTATAGATTTTTGTCGGTCACAGCGGGGTTCACGAGAGGCAGAATCATTCTCACGAAATAGAATACCTTTTATCCATGAAGGTTACAATTGCTTCACATTTGCTCTAGTGTTTAGACCTTCAATAGGCCGTCTGATCAATCCATCCCTGTTTGAACGTTTGGCTGCATCTAGGCTGCGCAATACGTATCGATGATGTGGAACACCCCTCGTTGAAAAAATGTCCCCCAAGCGTCTGTCGTTACCACATAAAGACAGTGGTACCCCGTCGAAAGTGACGATGGCTTCCCCGTTTTCCCATCTCGTTTTGTTGCATTTGCGGTACAGATGCATTTCCTTCTTTATGCTAACATATGCATGGGCATTTTACTTTCATGCACTAATGGTATGTTTATCTGCATCGACACCCACTTTCATTTCTTTCTGACTAAGGCTTCTACAGCATTAATCTTTCCCAATGTAAACACTCGCGGGTACAATAGCACGAGATCCAATGACACAATATCTAATGTCACGAGATCTGAAAACAGCCTCAGAATTGTAAGCCCCCCTGCTTAAGATCTTGGTCATGGTGCAGACACTTTCGACTTGAGCCTTTGATTTCTTTGTCTCTAACCACTACGCATGCTGACTATCGTAGCAAGCTCTCGGCAACTCGATAACCTATGGCTTTTTATCTAGTGATGGGAATGGCTTTCGCCTTGGCCTTCGCGATCTACTCACATCTGCTGGAAACACCGTTCAATATGTGGGCTCGGTCCGAGCGGGCAACATGAGTGACAATTTCAATGAGGGTCATCCGGGAGCCATCATCTCAGAAATTGCTGAATATGCGAAGTTATCTCTTCCCGAGGATCCAAACCTGGTTTTGCTTATGGCCGGTACGAACGACATGAACAATTTCAACAATGTTACTACAGCTCCAGAGCGACTCAGTGGACTCATCGATGAGATTACTTCTGCAGTTCCGAATGTTACTCTCATAGTTGCTCAGCTTACCCCCGCTTCAAATACTACCGTAAATGCCGCAATGGTCGCTTTCAATTCCAAGATACCCGATATCGTTGCATCTAAAGTTGCCGCTGGCCAAAAGGTTTCCACAGTCAACATGATGGACTATGTCACTGTGAATGATTTGGTAGATGGACTTCATCCAACAGATTATGGATATCAGCAAATGGCGAAAGCATGGTTCGCTGGAATTCAGCAGGTACAGAAAAATGGGTGGATAGATTCTCCAATTTCCACCAACGTCACGCTGGCCCTTCAGACGGCGGTTGCAGCGAGTACTGGTACAAGCACTGGTAGCAGTTTCAGCGCCAGCTCCACTAGTACCCAAAACACCAGCACAACTATGGGCATCAGCAATAGCATGGCCTCTTCCAAATCAGCCTCCGACCGAAGATTTCATAACCCTTCGATTAGTACCGTGTTTCTTTTAGTTTTGGCCGCTCACTTTTTATACGCCTAAATACCTTGGATAATTACTTCGATGTCAAGATTTTCCCCTGACTAGGGTTGACTTCAGGAGACAACATTCAGGGATTGTTTTCAGCCATCAGATAATTTCTGATATTCTCATGAATATCTGACAGAATCAGGAATTACAAATCCTGCTCATCTTTTCACTAAGAGACGACTTTATATAGGTGCCTAGCACAGCTAGCGAGGATCTGACTCAAGTGATTGGCCGAGGACACTCTCGGGTATATAATCGAAAGCTCGATCATGAATAGAGTATGGCAAAGAAGGATCAGCTAGACTTAGTGGGAGATATCCAGGCGCAAGAATCTTTGTATATACGAGTATTAATTAATTGATAATTTTTTCTCCTTTCGGTTTTCTCATTTTAGTTTGAAGATTTCCATGGGTTACAGGTTTGCAGAGTACAGGATTCTGAGATATGTTTTTATAATTGATGAAAAAAGGCGGAGGGAGGGGTGATATTTCAAGCACATATGCTCCAAGAAGTTCCAGGTATGAACATAGCTAATTGTCCCTTATAGGGTACTACCTGCTTATGAAGCATCCAGTACTATGAAGTGTATGTAGTTCGTGGATGATAGGTTCTCAATTTCCAAAAGATTTTACTTGATAAACTGAATTTGAGTCTTGAAAACCAAGTGAACATTATCTCCACTCGAAACCAGGCATTGCATCAACCAAATTTTTTTTTTCAATACTGAAAGCCCACCAAACAGGGTTGCAACCTTGGCTATCAAGAATTTTGTGTGAATCTTTTTAAGTTGTGTGAAGAATTGTAACAGGAAACACCCAGATGAGAGTGAGATATAGTCGAGAAAGTTAGATCGATTCGTTTAATTTTGCCCAATGCTCTAGGATATTCTCAAAGATATCCATAATCATCAAACCCTATTTTTTCCTGGCTCCAACTCCAGCTTCAGCTAAAGCTTTTACCCGCCTCTCTTCTGCTAATTTCACTGCTTACTCATGGAACTGAATTTCCATCTCTGCCATAACTCCCTCTTCATCAAGCTTCTCTATCTCATCTGTAGTGTGAGCCTCTATCCACGCTTCCATCATTTCGCCTTCAATTCTCTTGATAGCATCTGCATTTTCCTTCTCCGCCATTTCAACCTCGAGTGCTCCTGCATCCAGATTCTTCATTCGGTTTTCATCAAACGTATGCTGTAGAACCTCTTTTCCCGCCCAATCGGGTAATTTTCTATACATTAATCCTACCCGACCCTCATAAGCACCTTTAAGCTTGTGATAAAGTTCTCCAGAGAAAGGTCTCTGATCGACTTCGGCTGTTAGCGTTCCCCTGAGCATTCGATCCAGATCCCCACTCAGATGACTCTCAATCGGATCAACATTCAGCAATTTCCCTCTCTCCTTATCCAGCGTCCCAAGAATCACGCCGGTACGAGCTAACTCGTACACCACTGCGGCCAACCACCAAACCTCGCCCTTCTTCTTCCTATCATGCGGTTCCCAGTCTTCATCATCCGGATTCGGCTCATCATATTCCTCGAGATTAGGGACGTGACCCCCTGGAGGCTGCGTAAACGCAACCCCAAAATCCCCAATCTTCACGTGCGGATATCCGGTTTCTCGATCGGGTCCCCATTGCAGAAATACATTCCCCGATTGCATATCATTCTGAAAAATCACATCGCGCCCTTTATGTTGACTCGTCGTATTATAATCCGGATGTTCATTATGCAGAAACGCAACCGCGCTCACCAACTCATAGAAGATCTGCCAGATGAATAATTCTGGCGGTTTGACACGATGAGTGCGAAATCCTTTCGCCAAGCTCGTTAAGCTACCCGCATCGCAGTATTCGAAATAGAGTCCCAGAACAGGTTTGTCATAACCGTATTCAGGTACGTATTGAACGAATGCTTCGAGATTGCATATGTGCGGATGCCCGCCTCTGATGAAGCGGAGATAGATTCTCGTTTCGGAATCCCGCTTCGCGCGGAGACTTAGTCTTTCGACCGATTGAGAAGAACTCTTGGTGGCTTCGCTGCTGGGCGTGAGAGGTGGTATAAGAGCACCCTCTGGAAGATCCAATTCGAATTTGCCGAGATTCCACTGGAGCTTCAAGGCGTAGGGCTTTTTCGTTTCTGAATTGACGACCTTTAGAACAACACCGAATCCACCGGTTGCAATGTGCCCCTCAAAATTGTGATTATCATGATTAAAACCAGGGTCGGCTCTCCATTTATTGCGGCGAATAGTTATGTTCTTCTTCCGGAGGGCTTTAATGTATATCACTGCAGCCGTGTCAAATGCAAGTGCTCCAGGTTGTGCCATTATGCTTCTGTGTTTAGTTGATACATTTTAGGGTCAATGTCATTCAGCGAACTGGAAGCTCAGGAAACAGTTTTCGAAGCATCAACGTGCCAAGGATCTTTGACATCAAAGAAAAGTCGGCTTTCCAAAAACAGATTCCTTTGTCCTAGAAGTTGAGCTTGGATGGAAATTGAAACGACACAATAACAACGATTCGAGGAAAGAGAAGTGTTGCATTTGACACGCTAACCAAATTTCAAACACTCTATCTATTAAAACCCGTCCTGCGGCTGTATTGGCGACCTATTCACGTTCCGAATCGGGAAAATTTAATTGAAATTATTCTGTCCTGGTATCTCCCGTCCTCTCATTTCCCCTTCTCTGCAACCAGCGCCAAGCCATGAATGTTACTAGGAAGAAGCACACTAGCACCGCTAAATTGTAAGGTGTTTTGAGGTTGGCTTCTTCTAGTCATAGACTCTCTTTATCCCCAACTGGTGGAATTCTCCCGATGAGGTACTGTTCAAGATCCTCAATCTCCGAAACATCGGCTGAATGCTCAAGACCTCTTTGACAGAGTTAGCACAAACCCTTGTAAAAGAACGAATCTTAGCATTGCACTTACGGATACATTTTCAATTCAACATCATAGCCTTCATCACGTAGCACCTCTGCCGTCTTGATACCCCATTCCGGTTTAACAAGAGGATCAGAATCTCCATGGCCCATCCAGATTTTGGTCTGCTTGTTGGAGCCTCCATTTGGGCCCAAAATTTCTCGAAGCTTGTTATGTAATAACAGATAACTACTCAGACCAAAGATACCTCCGAGTTGTGTTGGACATGTAATACCGGAGAAAATAGACATTGCGCCTCCTTGGGAAAAACCGCCGAGCACAATGCGATTGGATGGAATCTTGCTATCTTCTATTTCGGATTTGATGAGCGAATGGAAGTAAGCTTGGGAACGTCGAATTCCAGTCTCATCTTGCTCGGCCTGGAGGTCACTAAAGGTTGTCTTCATTAAAAGTGGTCAGCGAAATCCTTCTGTAAAACAAGGGTGAAGTATAATTGCAAAGACGAACGGAATCAGTGCGTCTTACGATATCATACCAACCTGGCATAGTCATGCCAAAGTTCTGAATGATTTATTAGCTGGAAGATTTCTCTGAAGATGGTCGGCTTATCATACGACTGAGATGGGGATGGCAGGCGCATTTGGAAATATGAATTTGACTTCTTGGAACTTTTGGCGACGACGCCAATTCTCTGCGAGCGAAACCCATCCAGCACCACTATCACCAAGACCATGGGCCATGATGACAGTTGCAGTGTGCTTTGTGACTGCGGGGATAGTGAGAGCTGATGGTGGAGGCATTTTGTGAATTGTGAACGTTGCAGATCTTGTATAGAAAGAAGGTGTTTAAAATATCAAGAGGTATCACAAAGATGTGCTTCTATGTTTTTTTTGGATCTGCAAATAAAAAAAGTTAGAGAGGAGGTTAGTTCAGATTGTTTGTGTTTAGCAATTAAAGTAACTCTCCGAGCTTTGCTCTCCCCGCCTTATCGCGCTAAAAGTATTAAGTCAATAGTGGTGCACGGATTCGTGAAACTCTTCTAAAATTGAATGGGAGAATTCACAATTAATTCGAACATCATTGAATTTCGATAAAAACCTACAATATAATTACATGATTCAAAATAGATAATTTTACCAAGTCTCGAAGCATTTGAAGCAATTGCGCAGAAGCTTTCCTCAAATTCAAGATTTTTACCCTCTCGTGAACCCCTGCACCCACTGTTGAGCAAATCCTTGCATGTCTCTTATCTTGAATATTAATACTCGGTAGGTATCTTTATCAAAAACTATCTTGTTTTATTGGTCGTCAACACGCGCATAACTTCTAAAATACTATGTTAATAATATTTTGAATTGTTGAATGTTCTATTGTGCGGCTTCGATATTCTGTAGGCCTCTCATAATACTTGGATGTGCCTGAGCTTCCAACTACTCCCTTCAAGCTTCACTTCGAATTTGTAAACAAAGCGGATTTAATCATGGCACCACCGACATCTCGACCACGATCCCCCTCGCAACGTCCCCTCCCCGGATCTCCAACTTATTCATATGCTTCCACACTTCCCCTCGCATCCACATTTTCCCTTGCGCTTCCACCTCCACCAGCTCCTCATCCACCCCACGCCGTCCTTACGAAAGCCGACCTGGAACTTTCCCAAATCGCCTATTCTGAACTCATTAGCACCGCCAAAAGCTATCGACTAGCACTCGCAGAGCTGAGCTCTTCTGCATCCGCTTTTGGTAGTGCTCTAGAAACATGTGCACGATTAAAAGAAGCAAGATCCGAAGCCTTAGCTCCCCCTGGTGGCAGTCTCAGCAACAGTTTTACTGCAAAAGGGAATTGTACTGGAGACAACCTGATGTCGGCTAGTGGGGTACACCAGTTGATAGCGAACCATCAGCAAATACTTTCAGAATGTGTATACCGATCATTTGAGGTGCCTTTGCTGCATGAACTAGACAATTGGGGTAGGCAAATAGAGGAAGAGGAGGTCTCATATCGGAAGGAAGTGAAGAACAGGAGCAAAGAAATACAAAAAATGGAGAAGGAAGGGCTAAAACTACACAAGCAGAGGAAGCGAGACGTGCGAGGGTTCCGAGGGCATCTGGTGGAATTGACTACAAGACTTGATGGTCTTACAACACTACACGGTGAACATTCAAGAGCATTATTGAGGGACTGTCAAGATGTGAGCACCAAGGTGGTCGAAGCTAGTTCCTCTCTCGTCCGCGCAGAGGTGGAAATATTTGAAGCCCTGGCACGAAAAGGTTGGACAGGAGGTGGTCTCGAAGATCTACTCGAACACGGTCAAGATCTCTTCTCATCGGAACCCCCTTCCACGAACACAGACTCAAATGGTAGCCCATCCAAGATTTTCAGCATTCTGCCACAAAAATCAATCCTTGTAGATGCCACGCAGCCCACTACCGATGCGCCCCATAAAAAGGTGAACCACAAGCGTAGCGATAGTCTCCTTGTTGACAACAATCATTACCAGTCACTAGCTGCAGTCGCAGATCGTGATATAGATAGCGGATCAATATTCTCCGAGCGAGACACCAGGATTCTGAACCGCTCCCGAGGCGTAAGACCCTTTAGTCCAGAGACCATCGAACGAAGCCTAGATCCACTCGAGTTGCCTCCGCCTAGTCAGATTCCTAGCCAACTTCCATCTCCCAGAGAAGAATATAGCGAGAGATCCAGATTCGAAGCTTTCGGCTCTGTCACACCCGAGATCTTTAAAGACGAGACTATCCTAGATTCGCAAGTCCCGTCACCAATTTCCTCGCCGGAAATATTTGCAGAAACGGAGACGGGGATGCAGACATTGACCCACGCAGTATCATCAGCAGATACTCGAGAAGAGATGTCACACGAGACCAGCAGTATGCACTCAGAGGGTACCATCCGCGGAGACGAGCGAATTTCATCACCAGAAACCGAGTCTGAGCACGATGAAGACAGAAGAGAGCGAGAATGGAACGATAGATTTTATGTTTAAATGTTTAGCACGTGGATTATAGCATAGCCTCAAGCGTACTAATACCCCTCTAGACCAATTTTGTTATCATTTTTTTCTCTTTCTGGCATGCGTATACGGGGATATGGGTATCGGGGTATTCGGTTTCGGTTTGGGATCTGGGAAGGAGTTATATAAAAATTGTGTATGAGACGATTTGGAGGTATGCTGACAAGTTTAAGAAGAACAAAGTAGAAAGGGAGAGCTGTGAGTAGTAGTTTCATATTTGATGATTGACAGAATGACAAAATAAACTTTCATGCTATATTCGCCGGGAAAAGTCTCGCGCCAAAACTCCTTTCCCTCAGTCACCCCATCATCCATACCCAATTGGTTGGCCGGTCATTTATTACATTTCTGTGCCATCTACGCTCTTCGTCTGTAATTTTTCGCGCAATCTCGGGTATAGTCTCATAGCTTCTCCAAAACAACCTAATCTGCTTCGTCTTCGCCTTCCAAGATGTCACTCTCGACAATCCGTTTCTCCATTAAAAGTTCTCCATATAATCAACTCTAATCATCTTTCTCTCCTCCCACAACTCCAAAAATCCCTAGGTATGTGTCGAACCAGTAGATCATCCTCCAATAAAGACTCGCTTTTGCCCAATCGAATTCGCCCGTCTCTGTTCTTGGCACTGTGTCCCCTATAATATCCGCACTGAACCAATTTAATAATGGTATGTTGGACAAAACTTGCTGTGTGTACGATTTTTGAGGGAGTAGGGCCTGATCGGCAGGAAGAAGTTGCAGTCGTTGAGCTGTTGGGATTTTGCGACAGTAAAGGGAAGGTGCCTCGGGAGTGGCAGAACCTGCAGAAGACGGCCGTTGTTGAAGGGCAAGGTTACCACCTGTGACTGTAGATGTCGTTAACGTAGTAGTATCGATTGTATGACTGGTAGCTTGAGAGCCTTCAGGAGATAGAGCGCGATCTTCAAAGTGTACGTTTCGACTAATTTGCGACATTTCAGGAGTAGTCCAGGAACGGGGTAGACCGGATTGTTGAAGTGGACGTTCGGCGCCTGGAAGGAATGGTCCAGGATCGAAGCGGTGTCTATTAGAATTGAGACGAGATGATCTTTCTGATGTTACTGTAGAAACTCCAAGCTCATCTTTTGCTGGTGGCGCACCGCGATAGAGTTCAGCGTGAACAAAATAACCCAGTACTGCTTGTGGAGAGGCTTCTATCGCTGCATCTGCTGCTTCCGCGGATTCGAACGTGATTTTAATCCAGTGCTTCCCGCCAGCATATTTCAAAGCTTTTGCTTTTTCTTCTATAGTCATCGGACGTCTTCGCAGAACAACAGGATCTCGGAGGTCGGTTTTGTATCTTCGTTGATCTAGAGGTGCATCGCGAGGATAATCCTCACATATGTGGCCAGCAATTCTTTCATATTCTGCAATAGCTGCCCATTGATGCTCTGGCGTGAAACCTCGTAGTATAACCTCTGTAGGCTCCTTGTGTACAAATCTCGAAGATTGGCCCGCATTTCCATCAATAGCTACTAAAGCATTGTTATCTCGAATATTGGTTTGCGACAATGAAGATGGTATCGAAGATTTGCGCTGAGGTGGTCCCGAGTCTGATGTCGCCGCTGCTCTCCTTGCAAAAGTGGCAGCAAAGATTGCGTCTGCAGCTGCCAAGGTCGGATCCTCCTTTTTCAAAGCTGGTGTGCCAGTTCTTGATCGAGATCGTCTTGTCGATTTACCAAAGGATCCTGTCTCTGGAACGGTTCTTCGAACTCTTGCCGCGGCTGGATTTCCATCATTTCTACTCGAATCAGATTGATAACCTTCCATCGTATGGACGGGGAAAAGCTTACCCAGGGAATAGCATAGCATAAGGTCTTTTAATACCATCTTCACCTACATAACACTCCTCCTCTGGAACATTGTGTAATATCAATGGCGGCATTATGTAATATTTACCTAGGTAAAGCAAGGGAGAAGAATGTGATGTGTCTCAAAAAAAGACTGGTATTATCTGGAATGCGTGAGGAGATAAATTTGTGGTGTTCTCGAATTCTTTAGGATTTTAAAGTCTCACGTCTTCTACGCGACAAATCAAAAGTCCTCGTTGCTATGGTACAAAACACAAAATTTACTGCGTAGAAATGGCAGGGATCAAGGATTCACCAAGGATTTATTTCTGATAGCACGGTACGGAGGGGAAAGCCACACAAGGTCAACACGGTCAACGTCATCTTAACTTTCAAAGCTTCAAGATTTCGACGACGTCAAACAACAGCATCTAAAAACGTTGACAATAATACCAATCAACATAATAATACACATCAGTCAAAATGTTTCGATTCGTAAGTTTGATTAAAGCTCTTATGGACCTCAATTCTTGATGGCAGATCATTATTATTAGACATTTACTGACATCGTTAATCCATAGCATAAAACTCTCGATGTGATTACTCTCTTTCACAAGGCAAGCTCTCCAGCTTCAGTAAGAGTTCATACTCTTTTGAAGCAAGCTTCTGCCAATGCTACTGAATCCGCGACGGAGGATCAAGCTAGCGACCACTCTGCTCAGACCAACCCAAAGAGACAAGAGTTCGAATTGGAAGTCACCGAATCTGCACCTACCCCAGATCAACTCAAGAGCATTCTGGAATATATTGGTGTATCAAAGGTTGGCAGTATTGTTACAGGTGCAAAGGATGAAGCAGACGCCGTAAGGAAGATCAAAGCCAATGAAGATAGCTTCCAAAGACCTCTGGTATGTTCCTTGCCGTGAAATGTATCTCATGGAATGATCTTTTTACTAATGTTTGAACAGACTGTGGATTGGAGCAATGGGAAAGCTGTTGCTGGAGATAGTAAATCCGAGATATTGACGATGCTCAATGCTCTTTCCAAAAACTAGCCTTTGCATTGTTTGCGCTGTACATCATCTCAAAAGTTTACAATACCAATTTCACAATATCAATTTGTTTAATCACATCTATTACTGAAGTTACTCCGCATAACTGACTATTGTGACATATGGGAGTGAATAGATGATTTTGAACTGGAAAGAAAAAGAGGTCCACTTATCTATAATGGGACACAATGATTTGAAGGGGTTCATCAAATATTAAAATTCGGGATAGCAGTTGGATTCCTAGACATTCAAGAAGTATGTTCCCTCGATACTTGTTCCTCACTCCATGCAGTTCACCACGCACAGTTTCAAGTGAAGTATTCTTCGAATGGACCTTTCACTTCTCGTGTTTGACTCCAGTACAGGGAGGATGGAAGTCTGCAAAACCTAAAGGACGAAAGTGCGAAAAGAAGAAAAGACGAAACTCTAATTTCTGGAGTTTTCATGATGTGCGATCTGGCTCCTTCCTTCTAACTCAGTTTGAATGGTTAGGCAGGTATGATACGATAAAGCCGGCGTCAAAATCTGCTAATGATAGCAAGACTGTGAATTATAAAATGCAAGCTCCAATAACATTACCTACTAGGTATATCATTCACTTTAATCACCTGAACACTCGTCATGAAGTTCTATTAGCGGTGCTAGGTAGTACTTGTCATTCTTAGCGTTCTTAGAAGGTGAATTAGTACGGTAAGGACTTTCTACTTTATCTCTCCCCCAAAAATTTCTCTTCTTCGAAAAAACAGTCAACCTTTCTCTTCAAGACTTTCCACCTTCTATTCTGAGAAACCTTCCGGTCTCCTCTTTCACATCTTGCACTTTTAATAACTCCCACCATAAACCTTTATATTCCATCGTTTCGTTACGAATACAATCTCTGCACTGTCGCAATCAATTCTCTCTCGTTGCATTCTCTTGTAGCATCAAACGGGTCAATTATTGTCGCATTGAGCTTGAAGCTTTCATACAAGTTGCGTTGCTATTGCTGGCAATAGCAATTAACACAAATCAAGACGCATCAGGAATTTTATAATAATTTTTACAATAATTCTATAACTGCTGAGGGAGAGCTCTCGCCGGCATCACTGGCAAATATTCTCGACTTTGAATTTCTGAACTCGATTGGAACATTCAAAAAATAATACAACTCCTCACTTCACGACTCCACGAAGAGAATCTGCCCACACCTACAAAGTCCTATTTCCAATCTTCGAACCAATATTAACAATTGAAACCCCCGCATCTACTACAATATCGCGGAACAATGAGCCGTCCACCATATTACCTCCCGATACATATGATGGAGAATTCTCGACCTCCTCAAGCTCCTCAGCCCACGGAAAGCAATCCTGAGAGATGGGACGTTCGAAATCTCCCTGATATGCCTGCATGGATCTCCACTGATCGTGGCCGCTTTCCAAACGCGAATCTGCTCCTACGGGAATCCCCTGCATTGTGCACTGTGACGTAGTTGCTGATGCCAAGGCTAAAGCTACTAGCTTATTTGACTTATATCCAGACATTGTTTGCTATGTTAGTAAGCCTACCAACTGGGATGACCTCTACTTTCTTTGGGATGCAGCCGATATACAATTGGAGAGCCCTGGCTTCTCTATTATGTCATGTTTTTTATTGGCGAGGAAAATGAGCGACGCAAACCAGAAATACAGAAGGAGATAAACGACGAAATCAATGAATATGCAGAAGCATGGGTCACAGATCATAGAGATTTGGTCTTAAACTCTGCTGCGGGCAGCATGTACAAGTATTTCTGCCAGGATGAGCCTGAGGAAGTTGCTCCGGAGCTAAAGTCAACGCTCGAAGCAGCTTTGGAGAATTGTCGTTTGCGCCTGTTACAAGCCACGACAGTTACTAATTCAGTCCCTTCTCATGATGCATATCAACTTTTGCATCCTCAGGTTCCATCACTTCGAGTGTCAGAGCTGTCTCAGGCAATGGGACTCGTCATATACAGGCTGGAAACCAAGTCAATCGACCAGCAATTGCTCCTATGATAGGAAAAGCAGCAGGAGTAAATCTTGCATCGCATGGTTGCAGGTCCATGCAACCCCAATCCAAGTCTAGCTTCTACACCAATAGGACTGCTAGTATGCCGTTGAATCCAACAGCTCAAAACCAATTGAAATATGCGAATCGAGGTGAAGCTGCCGCGGGAATGACACCGACTTATCCTCAGCAACAACCACAAAAATACGATCGCTTCATGAAGGATCAGCGCAGTATGGGCAACAAGATTAATGCTACGACTAGCTTGAATGCTTCCCCAACTCGTTCCGAGAGCTACCAAAACGAGAATGGGCTTCGCAACAAATCTAGGCATCGTGGAAATTCGATTGAGACTCATCAAAATAGAAGACATCAATGGACCGGGCCTCATGGAACTCAGCCACAAAAGTTTATGCATCCATCGCAGAACAATCAACAACAAAACATGTTCAATAGCACGCGAGGAAGCCCTCCTCGAGCTGTTCAGCCCGAGCCTATTTACTTCCATAATGAGCATGCTCCTGTCCCTTTTACTGATAATTTCAACCGTCGCATGGGCAAAGATAATTCGGTTGGTTCTCGTATGGAGCTTCCTAATGATGTTCGAAATCTCAAGAATTTTGGAAATTCTAAACTCAGTCAATCACTTGCCGAGTTAGGTGAAATGGAAGGAGATCCAAAGCTCTATAAAACAGACGACTTCTGTCTGTATACTTATGAAAATTCTGCGTCAAGAGGCTCCTCTGGCCGCACTCTATACATGACGGGTGCAGACTTGAAGATGTTTTACACTCATGAGTTGAAAAGTTTAATGTCCCAAGTCGGAAAAGTGGTGTCGATCAAATTTTTACTCAGGCCCAATAACAATGGTCCCATTTTCATAACGTGAGCTTACATATTGGCCCAAATAATGCATTAAAGCTAATTGTCATGATAGATTCGATGCCGATGTCTTAGCCATGGCAATTGAGAAATTTGATGGCTACAAGATGCCAAATGGGCGGATACTTACAGCAGGATATCCACTTGAAAATTCAAGAGAGCGATCGGGCAGTAACTCCAGCTACCACAGTTACCATGGAGATAATCAAAACCGCTATATATTTAATCCTGCGGCTGAAAGTCGAGCTTGGCCAAAAAAAAACTCCATATCCCAACATCGACCCTCGAAATCCCAGAGCGGTCAAAACCAATTTCGTTATCAGAATGGCAATCATATGACTCCAGGAAATATCTCTGATCCCTTTCCATATACACCAGATTCTCAATCTATCCCTCCCTATCTTTTGACACAAGCACCAGTTCAACAAATTCCAGGACATGGACTAAGTGCAGCTTTTACGGAAGTTCTTCAACATGAAAGAGGAGTAGGAGCATATTTCCAACAACAAATACCCAGTGCAGTATTGAACAACAGAACAAACACTGCCGGTACAGCCCCATATCGATCATATAGTGGAGCCCAGGCAGACCGTCATCGCAACGGCACAAGACCTGGAGCTGATCACAACATGGCAAATTTGCCCAACCGCCCAGTCAACAAAAAAGAGAATTCGCCAATTGAAAAGAAGTAAGCGAATATATGTTACGGAGGATTTTGTCATTTCAAAAATCGCTGACATTCAATAAGCTTTTCACAATCTAGGCCTAGTGGAAAGGATTCCACTAACAGTCCGGGTCGTCGACAGAAGAAGACAGTTGGCCAAGATACGTGAGTCTATGTGTTCGATTGAAAGCTCAAACTCGGTTGAAGCGTTGCACTAATATACAGATAGGCCAGCCAATACAACCCCGATTGTAACTCCCGTCAGATCGACTTTTCAAATTCAATTGGACGATCAAAATGCGTTGACCTCACCAAAAGCTTCATCAATCGAGGAACCGATAAGCCCTACAACAGGTCAATCGTTAACCACCGAGATCAAAGTAGACACAATGGCTGCAATAAAAACAGGAAATGTTGAACAAACACCGGTTGAGATTCTCGAGTCATCGGGCCCTGTCGACAGCTCCTTGCCAGAACCATTGGGTGGGACAGTAGCTGCAATGGATTCGGATTCAACGTCTCAAGGAAAGGCGAAGAAGTCCAAGAAAAATAAGAAGCAATTCAAATCCAACAACAAGGCCGAGATCGATAAGGAAAACAACATTAGCGTATTCCCTGCCATACTTTCGCCAACTGAATCGACAATTACAAATCCATCACTTGGCGGCGAAGACACACTGTTCAGTGGAGACTCCACCCGGAAACCAAGTGTCTCTTCGACTGAATCTATATCTAACGAAGCCTCGAAAGACTCTATTCTCCAACAAGCGACTCGAGATGTAACCGAAATTCCAAAAGACCGCGAACGAACAACTGGAAAATCCATAGACAATGAAGTCAAATCTGAAACCATCTCGACTCCAAGTGTCACTACGGCTTCAATTACTCCCAATGCACCTCTTGCAAAGTCCAACCACAAGAAGTCAAAGACTCACGGTTCCTCCAAGGATTTCAAGAAACAATCTCAGTCGAATTTTTCAGACAATAATAAAGTTTCTTTAACCACCAATAATGGACCTGCACGTAAGACGGAGCCCAAGGCAGTTAAACAACAAGGAAAGGTCTCTAAAGATGGTGATGCTGAATCTTTGGGGCAACACGAACAACCAAAGACGGATTTGAAGAACAAGAAGAAGCGAAGCTTGCCTGAGGTCAATCAGGAGAAGGGAAAGCCTACAGTCTCAGTTGACCCTACAAACTCTTCTGAATGGCCCCCTCTGACTCCTTCCAACTCTCCCCCTTCAAGTATTGCAGATGGAAAGCCACCACAATTACCTACTCTACCAGCCTTGAATCGCAGAACTAAGGAAGTAATATTACCGGCATTGCCACTCAAGCCGCACCGACAATCGTAAGAATTTCAAACCTAATATCCATTCGCCATGCGAGCTGATTCCGTGTAGGGATTATACGCTAGGGAGCAAAGCTTGGCCGTTCGTAAGAAAATGCAAACGAAAGGTCTCACCAGAAGTTAGCGGTGGATGATCAAGGTAGCATTACTTTTGATGGCAGGTCATGTCAAAATCTATATCTACTGATATTCACTCATAAAGACACTATCGATAGACAGGGTTGGAGATGAGAGTGATTTATTCAAAGTATAATTGTTTCACATCATTAGTGGTCATAAATTAATAACATTGATACTCAATAAGTTGGTGATTACCTCTCATCGTGTGAATCCGTTTCCCGACACTCACGATAAAAGCTTCTTTTGTATGTCTGCTTTTAGATCATGATCATTACTGTTGTGCATTCACCTTAGAAAAGTACCGAATGATTTATAGTAAAATCCATCCCTGATCTTTTTGGGTTCTTTGCTTTTGATCCTCTATCCATAACTCCAAATTGTAGGACCAGAGCCAGGTCATCTTTCAAATAGGGTTCTGATATGACCCTCTTTTCAGATTCCACTGTCATATGAGATCATGTTCACGATCATTTTTATTTCTCATCGGGCATTTTGATCATGTATTGTGTATATCCTGATTTCCCAAGCTTATAGACTGTACAAGTGATATATCATTCAATTTGACTACGCAACAATAATCTGCATCTGCAGATGATTTACAGATTGTCCGTTCTATGGATTGTTTGTGGATGATTGTGTTTACTCATTAGGTAGATGGATAGATAGATAGATTATTTGTGAGAACTATTGTTATTTGTTTATGGTATGGTTTTTGTGTAAATCTTTTGTACATTTAGGCTCAGGTTGATATTGATGGTGGATTTTTGAATTACGTGGGTATCTGGAGATGAGTTGCTTGCGGGTTTTATGTGATTTATTCTGTAAATTGATAATCTGTTCTGTTAGTACTAGTCGGGAGGTCTATATCTAATTAGGAATTGTACTGAATAAGATGTGATTGCGAAATTGTGTGATTGATGGAGTGGGATGGGATGGGAAGGATGTATAGATTGATTTGTTGGTGTGGTGCCGCGTGGTGTGTGTTTTTTTTTGGTGTGATTGTTGGGGTTGGGTTGGAACTTGGGTTTCGGGAGATGTTGGGATGGGTTTGGTGATGGGTTTGAGGGTTTGGATGGATTGTGGGTATATTGAGATGAGGTTGTTTGAAGGATCGATGCTCTTCTCGTCTTGGAAATTTGATTTTGGTGCTTGGTGGGTTTTGTGCTTGGTGGGTTTTGTGCTTGGTGGGTTTTGTGCTTGGTGGGTTTTGTGCTTGGTGGGTTTTGTGCTTGGTGGGTAGTTGGATGGGAGAGTGGAGTGTGGTTAGATATCCATAGGCTATAGTTGGTCAATTTCTTCCATGTTGATCGATCGCGAGGATTGAGGTTGTGATTGCAAAAGTTGCTGCACAGATGGCACCACCTTTGATGCCTGTCAGGGATATTGTTGGGACTAGAGACATCAATACGAGTGTGGGTCTAGAGGGAAAACTCTACAAGATCTTGCGTGTCTGCTGCCCCTGGATATCTTGAGTTTTGAAAAGATTACGCGAGTTCTCGTTACCGTATTTGGATCATCGCCTCTGTCTCTCGCTTCATTTGGAGGACCGTGTTTGGACAGCGCGGTTTGGGGATGTAGATGTACGGTCTTTTCACTATTGGGTTTTGCGGTTTAGAGCTGGTTTGTGGAATTCACCGTATGGATTCACTGTGATCAGTAGGTGCCTACCTAGCTATATTGGAACATCAGACTTGACCTGCAAAATTCACTCAAGATTTCTACTTTGACAGTTCCTCCCCCTTTGATCTTCCCCAGCAAAGGTTCAGTTTAGACCCGTCTCTTGCTTCAGTTTCCTGAATTCCTCACCTCAAATCTCCGTAATCGTCCTTGAGTATATACGGCAACTGATATCTATAGACCTCTACTATACTCTGTCTATTCTGATCTCTGCTTCGGTGTTTACGATACGGCTTCAGTTCATCCTCGAATCTTGATATATACGATGTATTTTCTGGTACATCAAGTTCACGGTGACATTCGCGACTGTCAAGTCCCAGAATGGCCGTACATTGTACGGCTCACTTGTTGATTTGACGACGTACTCGATGTCTACTGGTTCATTGGGCGCATCTCTCGATACTCTATAAACTTCTTTCTATCCCCCCCAAAACAGAACTTAATTTTTACCTATAATTTTACTATTAACATAGTAACATACCTTCTACTTCTCCAATCAATCGGAAATACTACCACAAAACTTTCACAGATCATCTATTCAAATATATCACCACAGAATTCCTACCAATCACTTCATCAGGAGTACTACCTGATTGTAACAGGATTATCAAACTGAACTGAAGCAGATCTATCACTCATTACCAATCACCGTCGATAACCATGTCGAACTTCAACAGAGATGTTGATCTTCCCGGATTTTTTCTCGGCCGTGGCACATCCGAATATCGGAAAGATGTTTTACAACAGATCATGGCATTTTTACAACAAACGGGTCACTCCAGATTCACAACAAGTCCCAGATGATAAATCATCTGAATTGGTTCCATAACTACGGGGACGTGACCCTCAACCAAATCAATGCCATTGAAACCTGGCTGCAAAGCGGTGCCACGGGTTCAATTGAGGATCATTACAACCCACGAAAAAGAGGATCCTCCCCTCCACCAGCACCTCGAGTTACGAAACGCGCAAGGACTATTAAACGTGCACGTAGAGTTGTGCGTGAAGAACAAGTTGTGGCTCCGGATCCTCAGCTGAAAGAATGTTCAATTTGTGCAGAGGAACTCGCTCTTGCCGACTTCCCTGATCGAATCACCGCCGGATGCGCACATGATTCGTCATGCTGCAATGGATGCCTCTCCCAGTCAATCTGTGTTCAGATTGAAACAATTCAATGGGACCAGCTCGCATGTCCGGAGTGCCCCGAGCTGTTATCTTTCGACAATGTGAAGTCTTTCGCCTCCGAGGCCGATTTCATTAGGTATGTTTATAATCCGACAAGCTAATCTCCCACTTTACCAATGCTAACATCTGAGATAGATATGACAAGAACGCTCTCCTATCTTATATCAGTGCTGATCCAAAGTTCACAAACTGTTTTGGGTCCAAACTGTGGGAACGGTCAGATCCACCAAGATGGTGATGCCCAACCAATCATGACATGTGGGACATGCAGCTTCAAAACCTGCTTCACCCACAAGATGCCATGGCATACTGGCCTCACTTGTGGCCAATATGATGTCCAACAGAGAGGGAAATCTAAGAAAGACAAAAAGAGCGAAAGACTGATCAAGAAGGCTACTAAGCCATGTCCAAACTGTCAAGTTCCGATCTTGAAAAACAAGGGCTGTGATCACATGACTTGTAAGTTTGAATTTTTCAAGATATGAATGATAGGTTAACTAACGATAAATAGGCACTCATTGTGACTATGAGTTCTGCTGGCTATGTATGGCCGATTATGAAAGAATCCTTGAAACTAGTAATGCGGCACATGAGCTAAATTGCTTTCACTATCGCCCAGATGGAAGTCGTGGTCCTAGGTATACTTGAAGAGGTATCTTGAGAGGAATTGCTATTCTCAACATGGTCCCCTGCAGGGAAAAGTTCACTCACATAACTGAGAATATCGAACAGCAACCGCACTACTCGGCCACTCAATGACTGAGTCCGTTGCAGATGGAATATATGATCTGGGATGTCTGATTAGACAAGGCGTGGCTGTGATTTAACTGTTGGAGAAGTATCTCTTCTGATTTGAGCTGGGAAGTTTGAAACTGAGCATCGGCGGTATGGAGGACTAGGGAGGTAGTAACTGAGATTTTCAATACCACGGGGAGATAGGAAAGATGGCAAAGTTGAAAACAGGTAAAGTTAGGACTTATGATATGCGGAATTTTTTTCAAAGATAGAACTATCAATTAAATCATTATCACTGCTGTACTTCATGTATATCGTGCTCTCCTTGAAGTATTCTCACGAAGAACCCGCTTCCTCGTAGTTGAACCGAATGTCTATATGATACCCAAGTTGACCAAGTAGCTGCGTAAATGATTCATTTGACTTGCTTGAGGACGTTGAAAACATAAGTTACAAGCAGATACCTAGTCGAACTCAGTTTGATTCTTCAAAATTCACTAAATGGTTCATGCACTGAAATATAGTGAATTAGAAGATCCTTAGCTTTGTGCGTCCCCTCACTTAGCTCGGTTTTCATTTTCTTTTACAAGTACTTCCATTTCTCCTCACAACTTCGTTTCTTAACTTCCTACCTTCAAATCTTTCTACTAAGAAGAGGAAAACTATCTGGGGGTTTTTTTTCTTTACCGGAGAATCATCATACTGCGGTCTTGATCAATTTGATATTACTGAATGTAAGTACTTGAATCCTATCTCTCCCTGCTTGGTCAAAAGACTGACCAATTTCATTAAGCCAAAATATCAATCCTCAGATCCCTTTTCAGGTAGATAACATTTTCTGCAAGAATATCGTAAGTAATGCAACTCTTCTGGTACCTATCATTTACTTTATGAAAAAGACTAATTCCCATTCCTTGATAGAGCCATCGTCAGCCAACATGACGACCACGACCCTTCCCTCCGCGATTGAGAATCAATGTGCTCATTGCAAAGCCCCAGCCCATAGAAAATGCGGTGGATGCTCTTCTCCGCTCGGCGAGGAGGCCGTTGCAACCATCTATTATTGCACCGAAAAATGTCAAGTGGAGCACTGGAAACTTCACAAGTCTGCTTGCAAGGCTCATCAGATGAAGAAGCTACTGTATCGTGCTGGCGAGACGCTTCAGGAAATCTTCTATCGTTATCGTGAAGTTACGTTTGACATAAGGGTTGTGAAGATTGAAGAGAGAAATGGAACGCTTTACGTTGATGAAAGCTACCCGAACGAGGAGAGTAAAATGCAAATGTTTCATGACTTTCCAGTCAATTTGGTCCAAAATGTGGAGGATAAGCATGCCTTGCTGGCACAAAATGCATGTAGTGAAGCTATTACATGGATGCAAGAGGTCACTGGACATTTTCTCACCGGTAAGTAACCAGGTGTTGCGCAGAATAAGAAAGAAAATAACTGACGGAAGGGAAGGGATTGCTGCCAAGATTACAGAAGTCGGTGTGACACCGAAAAACACAAAGAGAAGAGTTAAGCAGCTTCTTGGAACTGGCAAATACGATAATTTTGAGTTCCCACATAGCTGCTTCAAGGTCATTCTTAAAAATGGTGGTGGCACATACAGTCTTGATCTCACGAGCGCTCAATATGGCTATTATCTTTCAGTGACACCATGAGCCCAGTACCTCAACAATCGCGCCTCCTCAATCAACAGCTCAAATAACTTTGGTGAGGCAAAGAATAAATTCACAGACCTTGTTGATCATCTAGCCGACCCCGTCATTGAGGTTTGGCACATGAACCAAGGCTGTTCTGACGCAATGAAAAGCGGTACGGTCAAGTGGGAAACAGAAGTCGGCATGCCGATATCTAATTTCTTGAAACTGCCCCAAAGACAATTTGAACAAAAGCAAAAGAAACTTTGTGACTCCGTCGCTGGTTGTCTTCGTTCTCATCAGAAACGCACACTAGAGCAAGCAGGAAAACCTTCCCAGAAGCCAGGTGGTGCACCTAAGACTTCCTTCTCCCCTGAAGGAAGTTTGATGGATAGTATCTTCGAGTTGATGAAGCATGCCTAGTAGAGGTCATCACACATTGACTAAGTCACTGATCGCATAGGGAAGTTTCGATTTGTTCGGATAGAGAGGGGCTTAGTTGGGATTATTGAGATCATAGGCATTGGGTTTATTTGTAATTTAATTTGGTCAATCAAGTTATAAGAAAGTACCAAAAGCTCTGAGATTACTTCTAGATAGGACAGAATCATATTTGGTGGAGGCCATGATAGGTTGATTAAACAAATTCATATGATAATATTGAGCAGTCGATTAAGTGCCCGTGAATGCTCATGATAATGTTCCCTTTTGATCCCGAGACTTTGGCAAGTATCGCACCGTGGCTAATAATAAAAGCGCACCTGCCACATTAATCCGCAATTTCTTATGTCACTCCACAAAAAGCCAAATCTTAAATGACTGCCCTTCAAACATATATACCTTATAGAACTTCACTTACATTTGGGTATCTCTGCATGGAGACAATTTTTGATGAGCAATGAATATTCATTAGGTAAGTGAAGGTTCCATTGTTTGCACAACCATAGTTTGAGGGCGATTTAAAATAGTCTAAAAATGCAGTAGCGCTTTCGCTTAAGATGGTCTTTGTGAAATCTAGCTTAGTTTGTGGGGATAAGTAAAGAACTCTCGTCGCACTAGAAAGCTCTGAAGTAGGGCTGAGTAGTGAGGCTCTAGTTTGCCTAACAGAACGAGACCTCGATTATCATATGCAGCATCCAGAATATTTATTACTCCGTAGAAAACATCCCCCCACCTCGCTTATTGGTAGTCTACCACTGATATTAGATCAATCGAGTACTAATCATTAGCAGTGGCATGATGTCGTGGTCTAGTGTTACAGCTCAGCAAAGCCCATGTCTTATATTGAGGACAGCGCCCCATGCATGCCAGCAAGACTCCTTGCCAGTTGCGTTCAGATTTGGGTACACCAACCATAAGATTTCTGATTATATTCTGTTTCTCCATCAAACAATCTCGGTGAGGACTCATGACTAATGATATGAAGTGCACTTACTGTTTCCAAGTCCGTGAAGATTACTGTACGATTACGTGATGGGGCTTTCCAATACTCGGTACATTACAGCTGTGTCTCCTTAGGCTGACTACGCTAATTGAACTCTCGAAGTTCAATAACGCCAGTCGGGGCCCTGCTATACCGATTTCAGAGATGAAAGGCGCCGTTTATCGGTTGATACAGAGTAACTTAGGAGAGACGGAAACCGAAAAAGGCATGAGGCTTTCGGCTTTCGTTGTCTAGACTCTACTTTGAAGGGACAATACAAGGGATTATTGGCAGAACCCAACTAGGTTTGCCACGGTGAATTCCAGCACTGTGCATGATAACGAGATGGAGTATATCATCAAAGATACCAAACTAGCCTTCATAGGACCCAAGGAAAACGATGTTGTGCGATGTTTGACAGCGTGAACAGTGCTCCCAATCGGTTAAGTTATTTAGTCAACGTTGAACCAATCGAATGAATCGCTTTAAATGAAACCTGATGTCGAGCTACACTTGTTCGCCGAGAGAGTGATAGATACAACCCAAAACTCCAAGCTTTCCACTTAGTGCACTTTCTGCTATAACAACTGAATAAGTTGTGAAGAAATATACAATCACGTGCGGAAAGTTAAAAAGTCGCCGATTCGTTTCTTTCCGGCTGTACTCGGCCTAGCAGGTGGTAATACCACCTTTTCAAGTGGCCTTGTTCTTACCATAAAGGCGAACATTTTATCCTTGAATTTCTCCCAAGAAATAATATCCTTATCCCGAGGGCTTCCTTTACCTGCCCATCACACGAATCGGAAGACATGCCGGCAAAGCAAACGATAGAAAACAGATATGTGGATGTGGAAAAGCTCAAGGCTTTTCTGAAAGGCCGTTTCCCTGGGCAGAACTTTGAGGTCAAGGTCCGTCATCATGTTTCTGTCTTCAGCAGCTCTGGGGGTTTTGGGGGTGTTTTGAGCTGATTTGAATACACAGCTTCGACGTGGGCGATTTTTCGTGGAGACACCAGAGATTCTGACACTTGTTTGTTTGGCTTTTCCCCCTTCTCTTTCCTCTCACCAAAGTACGGGCACTAACCTGCGCAACGAAAGGATGAGATTAATTCTTGCACGGAATCAGCGGCAAAGGGTGGCTGAGCATGCAGAAGAAATCTGCCCGCATGATTTAGTGCTTACTTGTCTGTATCCAACTGGCTGAGAAATTCACCAGAGGAAAGAACGGCAGTCAGGTAGAAACAATTAAGGACGTTGATAAACCAATTTCTGCCCGCGGTTTTGTGACTCACGATTGCCTTTTTTTCTTTCACTGCCAAATTCAGTTGCCTTCTTTTCGTTAATTTCGTTCTTTTTTGTCGATATGGCTTCCACTGCGCGCTGTTTATCCCCTCAAGTCATTGATGGACATTATGTGGACCCTCGAAAATTGATTAGCCTGTTACAACGAGTGTATGGGACAGTTGATGGAAATAACAATTTTCGAGTGGAGGTAAAAATCAACTATTTACCTCTTCTCGTGATGAGAACTAATACCTTTGTTCTTAGTTGAGATTAAATCGCTACAAGATATATCGTCCTTCCGATGATGATAATGTTCGAACGTTGACTGAGGTAACAACCAGTCAACCAAAATATTCATGAAAAATCTATTTATTGATGCATTTTAGGAACAAATACAAGACTGTCGAGTATATAGAAGGCGCAATCGTTGATCTGGCAGGTGTCGAACAGGAAGAGCTTGCTCTATCTCATTTGGCATTTTTGCTAATTATGAGAAATCATAATTCTGCTAGTCTTCTCTTTATGGAGTATGGGTGTTGTTCTTTACCTTAAAAGAACTTTGGGAAAAATCGATGTCCGTTTCCAGGCTAGAGAGTTCATCATTATTTATCTTAGAATTGCAATTAAATTCAACGTTATAGATACGCTTAAAGAAATCATATAAAAGCTCAAAAACGGAATCGCTTACCATATTCTCAGACTACAATCTAGGCCAACGATTGAGATATTCATCGTAATATTAATCAGTAAACGACTATGGTTAAACATCATGATATTTTCAAATGGAAATTCCCCTCTTGAACGACGTGTTATCACAGCCGTCAGCTGCAGTGATTGTGCCCATATGCAAGGCTATTATGGGCTGTGTGCGGGGTCAATCTTTTCGCTTGGGGTAAGGAAATCATTTATCGTATGATTAGACACTCTATGTGAATATTTATATACTCATAGAGCGAGGAGTAGTGTCTGTCGTATCTGATATCTGGACATGGCTCAATATCTTCATCTTGACGATTCGAAGGCACTTCAATGCAAAATTGAAGCCAGAGCGAATAATCTATTCATCAAAACAGCGGAAAAGAGCTCCTTCCAAGTCATTAGGCTCTCCAAATCTGTCAACATAAGGAAACAGCCAATTATTCCCACTTTCCAGAAGAATCTAGATGTCTGTGAAGTTTCGCAAGTCAATATCCTCAAAGGGACGGATGATGTTTGTCAAATCTTCATTGTACGACACGATAGATGCTGGGCAAGGTTGAACATCGAGAGAGCACTATTTGAGCATTTCATTAACAGTTATGAGGTCTGCGAAGAGTTTTGGAAGTGCGTATTTGCGTTTGGGCTAAAGCAGAGAGAGAACGAGTTCGAATTTCCTAGATTAAGAAGCAGAATAAGAAAGAAGTTGGACATAACTGATCCATATGAGCCCAAAGGTAAGTCTCGCACCTTTTCAACAAAATTGAGATGGATGAAAGCTGAGATATTAGCTAAACAGATCTGATGTATGTGATTCGTCAGGTAGAGCTAAATGGGCGAGGTGGGACAAACCCTTGGTCTATTCGCCAGACAGCAGTTTATCATGGTAGGAAACCTGATGAAACTTCTTCGCTACCCATCTCGATCAAAAGCGCGCCCTCGATGCTCTTGATTATTGCACCTTCCTCTAATGCAGAGATGAGAATGACAGCATATCTCGAAGAAAGAGCCGCTGACAAGCGACAGACATCGTCATGGAATCTGCATAGACTCTTAGTATCAGATAGTCTTTCGGGATGGCCGGACTATATGGCAAGCCTTGAAGCAAGACTGAGAGAACAAGTATGCTTTCCGAATATTCAAGCTCGATGACCCAATTCTGACAACAAATTTCCACAGACAAACTTGATAATTTGCGCCACCGATGACATGGAAGAAGAATCTTCCTCAGCACACGGAATAGGCTTTGAATCACGACAGGAATTGAAGGTCTTAGAAGATTTTGTGCTTGACCTTTTGATGATACTTCGGACCAAAGTAGAAACCGTTACTGGCCTTCGGGACCAATGCAAGGAATATGCAAACGAATTTGGAAAACAGATGGAGCCTGAAGATAGAGCATCTCATTACCTGATCCTGAGAGAATTCGACGAGTATGTGAAGGATGCGGAGTCATATCTAGGTCATGCGAAAGACCTGAAAGATCGAGTTCAGTCAACTGTAACTTTGGTATGTGCGGCAAGTCAAACATTAACTTTCGTAAAAATTGACCTACTGCAGCTATCGGATTTCTTGAATCACGAAGAGAATAGATCAATGCATCATTTGACTGTGAGTATTTATGACTATACATCTGAAAGTAGAGCTAATAAATCTATAGGAGAGAAGCACAAAAGATGCAGCAGCTGTCAAAATCTTGACCATAATCACCCTTGTCTACCTGCCCACCACAATTGTTGCCGTCAGTTATCCGAGCATCAGGTTCATTCAATATACTAATTCGTCTTAGAATTTCTTCTCCACCCAATTTGTGCAAACGAGCGATAATGGACACATGACAATAACGGAGAATTCTTGGATATTAGCAGCCATTTCGATACCTTTGACAGCTTTAACCATATTTCTGTGGTGGGCTTGGGTTTACCTCACTGAGGTCAAGAAAGAGGTAATGGTATCTGAGAAATCAAATTCTGGCCGTCAAGACAGCTTTCGGTCTTTCATATCTTCCAGGAGAAAAGGCTTGAGTAATTTTTCTACATCGAGGAACCGGCTTGGAAGGTTAGATATCGAAGCAGGGGTTTCTTCTCATGTGACAGATATAGCTTCGCCACTATCTTTTGGGGACTCTGGTGCGGGAACTTGGTCAACTACAGCGACAACTATCAAGTCAGGCTAACCACATTTATCTCGCATTCGCTGACAGATAATGAGGTTATCTTTTGCAAATTATGAGGAGGGTTACATCGCATCATAGTATTGTAGCAATGCATATAACATATTCAAGGCCATGTCTGAGTTACGGCTCCTATTACTATCAGTGGTTGTTCCGGATTGCAAAATTGGTTTAAAGTAGCAGAAATGTTTCTATATCGGGTCACTCATCTATGGACTAGAGACAACGACCTGTGTGATTCATAAAAGCCCCGAAGTACCCCACTTCTTTACCCCAGTTCTTGCAGATCATATCTAAGAAATGGCTTGTTTCTTCCACTGGTAGGTTGAAGTTATGCGCAGCTTACATCTTGCTGGTTGTATTTTACTGGCCACTTTCGTCAGACAAATGATGAACCCGTGTAATATAGTCATGTTATTTACGAGTCATGACTGATTGAATTTGATATTTGTCTAGACCGTTTTTTCACACATTTCAAGGGAAGCAGATGCTAAGAAACAGCTTCTCAGAGCCCTGCCCCATTGGAAGAGGATTTCACATGCAAACACTGCGCCTTCCCTTTAACTGTCCAATTTCTACTTCTGATGAACTCGACAGAAACCATATTAACAGTGATGGTTCCAACTTCCGACACGAGAGATTGGAATCTAAACAGAAGTGTGGAGGCTTAGGCGCTGATACTATCTTTCAGGATCCATGATCACCACCCACATGCGAATGTGGTTTACAGCACCTTCCCTTTTGGGACACCGGCTTACTACCTCCAATAAAGGTATCAAGCAAAAAATGTATCAATGCCAATGACATAGTGAGCCTGTGCTGGCGACCCAAAACGCGACCTTAGAGCCTCATAAGTGTTGTATGTGGAGGCTTACAACTTTGCCCTCCTCAGCTGTTTTCGACCGATTAAATGAAGTATATAGTTTGCATAATGGAGGCTTGTACCACTCAAAGAATGTAATCGTGCCTTATAAGAAAGCACATGCGTTCATAAATAATCGCCACAACTTCGCATATCCCAATGGGACTTATTCAACTTCTTAGCTGCAACATGAAGCTTTTCGGCCGCTCGGCAAAAGGTGAATCAAGCACAAGAAAACAAAGACTTTCATCACATAACGGAGAAAAGCCCTCGGTAAGAAAGCTGAATGGTTCTCTTAGTGACCACCACTGACCAGTTTGCTGACACTACTTAGAGTGAAATAAGTGATGTGACTGTCAATCGCGACACCAATAATCTCCGACCATCCACAAATGGACGACCAGTCCCGATCCACACCCTGATTTCAAGAGAAAGTTTGACACCAAGACCAACATCTTCCATTCACAATTCAGACAAGATTAAATATGAAAATCATTCTGCTGGTGGAACCGAGCTAGGCGAAAGTCATATTGTCTCACTGAAAGAACGATTACGTAGCAGTCGAGAGGAACTTCGCCCGCAGTCGGGTCGACCTTTCGTTCCTATATGTCGCCAGGTCTCTATACTCACTGTCGAAGCAATTGAACACGATATACGCAGATGCGATACCACAATGCCAATTGACAGAGCAAGGTTTTATGCACAGTGGGCTCGCCAAAATGGAAGGAAATTATACGCGACCTTAGCTTACATCGAGAGAGGTGCGGATGTGTACCACTTTGCGGATCAGGGAATTACAGACAAGGATCTTCCTTTACATTATTTACAAGGTGTTTCTTCCCTAGGAAAAGAGATGCGAGAAAAGGGTGCTCTTTTCCTCAAAGAAGGGGTGCAAATAGAGAATCTTGATCATTGGAAGGATGAAACTTTGGAAGCGTTCTACGACATACAGTGGTTGATGATAGCACCTGTATTCGAGGACAAAACGGATCTTGAACTCGCCGCAAGGGAGGTTCTGCCCTTCATCTCATTTCATGGCGCAAATACAGATGCAATGAAGCCCAAGCAGGGAGCATACAGCGAGGTATCTCCCGTGCAAGTTCATCCTTCTCATCATCAATTTTGGAATAAAGAATATGTAACGGTAAGACTGAACTTTTGGTCGTTGAAATTCGTACTAATGTGATGTAGACAAAAGAGCCATTAGTAGCTGTGAAAAGATTATTTTCGAACGATGAAACAGAATTCAAGAAGGAGCGTGATATCCTGAGAACCCTCGGCAGTAAAAAGCCCCATCCTCATCTTATTCGATTGCTGGCCACCTATCGACAAGAGGAAGAATTTCATCTCATATTCCCATACGCAGGAAGTAACTTAAGATCTTACTGGGAAATTCGATCACTCCCGACGTTTGACCAGGAAACAGTCATGTGGTCTATGAAGCAGATGTATGGGATCGCCAATGCATTGTTTCGACTGCATGAGTTCAAAGTTACAATTCCACTGAAAATTGGTGGTCCTGGAAATGTGCGAGTGCAAACCGAAGACGACGGTCAAATAAGTGTACATGCAGGCGAGGAGATGTTCGGGCGACATGGCGATATCAAGCCGGAGAATATATTATGGTTTCCAGAAGGCCCTGAAGCACACGATCCACTAGGTGTTCTGAAGCTGGCCGATTTTGGCCTAGGAAGATTTCATGGCAGAGATTCAAAATCAGGGATAAGGCCTTCTGGAATACGCTCATCACCAACCTACGAGCCTCCTGAATGTAAGCTGCGCCGCCCGGTGTCCCGAGCGTACGACATTTGGAGTTGTGGATGTGTATGGCTCGAATTCATTACGTGGCTTCTCAAAGGTAGTGCTGGCATAGAAGAGTTTGCAGATCGCAGAAGCAATAATCCAGGACCCAATGAAATCGACGATGACAACTTCTTCACCATGATACCGAACAATCGCATCTTAGAGGCCACAATCCGAGATGGAGTTGAACAATGGGTTAAGCAATTGCATCAGCATGAGAGATGTTCCGAACTCATCCATGATCTATTAAAATTGACCATGGATCACCTCCTACTCATTGACTCAAATGAGCGTATTAAAGCTGGCGAGTTCAATCGACAAATGGCGGACTTTTATCAAGAAGCAAAGAATAATCCAGACTACATGTTGAAGCCAGCCCCGTTATTACCAGAAGATTCGAAAGCGATGTTTCTCGGGATACCGCGATACGAAGGATCTGGACCTCAAGTGTCTTTTAGTGATCCAATGAAGGTGAGCATTTCGCGTGAGTCCAGTGCATCCCGCAAGTCCGGAGACTTGAGCCCGAAATCCAAGAAAACTGTAACTTGGCCTTCAGATCTCGCCAAGAGGTGATGTGGAAATGCTTTTTGTTGATCAGAAACTCTTCGTTGAGCACAGGGCCAAACCGGCACCAGCCGTTTGCACTTCAGTTCGAAAAGATCAGATTCTTAGACCTTAAGCATTGGAAGCTTAACATTTATTTTGTCAGTCTAAAGACGCATGCATTGAATCAGGACTGAAGGTAAACACCCCCGGAATACTCTTAGTTCTCAATGCGAGCTATTTCTAACCTTTTTTTTTTTTTTTTCTCGAAGTAGGGCCAATGTAAATTATAAATGAACTCACTGCGAATCGTCTCGAAACAAAAGAAAAGATCTTAGTATCTGTTCTTTCCCTCCATTATCGACTTGTGTTACGGCGTTAGGAATACCAGGAAACTTGAGCGAAGGCGTTTTCATATTTTTTGAGCTGCTGTTGTAAAGAAATCCTAGGTAACACAAACCAAGAAAGAAGCCACCGTAATCCTTCTATGCTAACAGGGGTCTAAGGCGAGAAACAGCCGAGACTAAAGCACAGAAGAAAGCACGGTTGCGAGCAATAGATCTTAGAGAAATCATGTTGTGTCAGGCTTAGTTGTCCAGGAAATATCTAGCAACAGCAATCTAAACCTCTTACAAATGCAGTGATAAAAGCCTAAATAACCCTACGAACGTGTGTATCATGTCCGGAAAGATAGTCCTTTTCGTGCCAAGCCCAGCCAAGTTGACATCCACTTTACTACAGCTGAACTCAAGAGACATGTGAACTCCATGGTAGATTCCGGTTTGTTGTTGTTATTTGCGAATATCAGACTACCACGGAAACATGTCCATCCAAATACAAATCTCCGTTCGTGTACCGAAAGGATATCAACCAGAAACCTTGAGACTACCAGGTCTTGTGAAGCAGCGCAAAACTATGACAGGAAAAGAAAAGCATCAAACTTCCCAACTCTACGAGGAAGAACGAAAACGAATACACTTTATATCGGCTCGACCTCCTCGAAATAGCAATAGCAGAGCAATGAGGCCCAATTAGCACATCTGTCGTGCTTCAGCGTACACTGCGCGATCTGCATCTATTTCCTTCCTTTTGAGGCTCAAGTACATCCGCTAGGTAGGTACGTGGTGAGATTAAGAGTTAAACTCTAACTTATTACTCGCCTTACAAATTCGAGCCAAATGAAGGAAAGCTGAAGCCTTGATATTCACCATCATCTATAGAAGCTGGGTAGAAACTGAGCAGGCAGTAATCGGTAGCAAAAAAATGAATTGGGTAATCTGCATCTACTATAGCTATACACACCCTAATTACTATCATATTCCCGAGGTAGATCTCCCCTTCATAAACTCGACAAATTCCGTATCTAGTTGAAGTCAGGTTAGCACATATCCCACTCTGTATAAGTTCTTGGCCGCATAGAACTGTTGAGACGCTTACAACCAATTTTATCCTCCGCATCTACCGACTTCATTATAACGTTGTCAATCTCTGCATCACTAATTGTTTCTCCCAGATTTCCCAAAACTTGTCTCAGTTGCGCTGCAGTGATTGACCCTTTCAAAGAGTGATCATGTTCCCTCCACGCAGATTTCCACTCTTCCTCTAGATCTTCCTCACTCGAAACAGGAATCGCAGCCGACTCTGCTTTCAAATCATCTTCAATAGGCTTTGGATCATCAGGCTTTTGCCTTGTTCGGCCTGTCATCATGGCAATGAATTCTGCATGCATTTAGTAGATGTCCCCCTGTTCCTGCAACAGATTCACGGTATCATACCATCAAAGTTTATAGTACCATCGCCATCGAGGTCAACTTCCTTAATGATTTGTGCAAGTTCTTCTTCGCTTGGATTTTGTCCAGACTGTTTCATCACACGGCCAAATTCCTCTACGGTGATGTTGCCTGCAAAAACCAATCAGCCCTGAAAACGCTGTAGGTGGTCTCACACAACCTACCTCCTTTATCCGTGTCCTATTGGTCATATTAGTATAAAAGTTCACAACGCTAGTGCATATTCGCGGGTAAACACGTACATATGCATCGAATGCTTCCTTGAGAATAGCAACTTCTTCATCTGACAGTGGTTTGGCCTAATCATACTAAATCAGCAGGAATAGCGAACACATACTATTTCTACACACCATAATGATAGAAATTTCGGTAGATTTAGAAGAACAATAAAAGAGATGAACAGTTCTTCGAACGAGAAGCTATTTCGTGGAACTCATCGCATCTTAAAGTGGGATGAGGACATCCACAGACTGCCCCTGTGTCGATCATACCCACGTGATAGTATGATCATCGGCATAGATCGTTTCAGCAAGGACAGTCGTTTGATATCGCTGGATTCTAGCATCATTGTCTGATATAAGATACTCGAGTATCATTCTCTGCAATTGATCTAGTCAACGCCTACATAACCCTATGCTACGAGTAAGAAATCAGACCATGAAGCGAATGCAATGCCGGTCGGTACGTGATGTAAGCAATTAATTAGATGAAAACTCTCGCTGACCATACTACGGCCCATCAACTGAAGATTTACCTTTGTTCTCATCTGTTAAAAGACTGAAATCGTCCGCGACGTTCACATCATAAGATATCGCAGAGGTGTAAGTATCATCTGTTGCCTCACGTGACATCCCCGCAATATCTCCACTCATCCGTCAATACCCGTCCGAGCAAGAGCGACGAGGAAAGCAACCCCCTCAGCCACCAAGTGAAAGCCTTCTGCATTTCCTACAACATAACAAACCCCAAGAAACCCCAGGTAGCTCATGGTTTACAAAAACCAGACTAGAAAACCAAGCATGTAATCGTCAACAAGTTCTCTTTTCCCTTCAGAATTCAATCCAATCCGGTTCCCAGATTTGATGAGCAACGTAAATGTGATAAGGCACACCACTAATTTCATGACAAATCAACACATCTTATAGACCGGAATTTGTAACCGCGAAGTTGAACTCAATCAACAAAAAATTTGGTATTCATCTAATTCATCAATCTAAACAAACTTGCTGTCCTTGCTTACATACAAGTCAACATACTCATCCACTGCCATTGCCTCAAGTCTCTTAGAATCATTGCCCAAGTCAACCAATTCCTTGACCTTAGCTTCACTGAAATGTGGTCCCAAATGTCTCTTGTACTTGGCCAAAATTTCTGGTTTGGCTTCTTCTCTTCTCAATCTGTGACCCAATGGAGCATCAACGACAACCTCTTCCAAAACTTGTCCGTCGTTCAATGTGACGGTCAAAGCATTTGGAATGGTTCGCATGTTTTCATTGTGATAATCCTTGGTGAATTGTGGATCTTCGACACAAGCAATCTTTTGTCTGAGTGATTCAACCAAAGGAGAAGTAGCCGCCTCTCCGCCATCAGTATAATCTGTAGCTTCAAGACGTCCAAAAACGAGCATGACTGCAGTCATGTATTGGATGCAGTGATCACGATCGGCAAAGTTGTCCATAGGCTTGAATTGTTTGTCGATGATACGAACGCAAGCTTCGTGTGTTCGGCAGGTGATCTCCTTGATATCAGCGGCAGATTTTCCTTGGTCTACCAATTGTTGACGGATACGTTTTGCGGCTTCAATGGCAGTTTGAGAGTGGAACTCGGCTGAAAAAGATTAGATGACAAACTATAATAGAATGTGTGGATGACATACCTGGATAAGACACCTTGAATAAAACGTTCTCCATGACATAGCTGCCATATGGACGTTGGAATTCAAACTTGTTACCCTTGAAGAGAACATCGTAGAAACCCCAGACTGGAGCAGACAAAACTGTAGGAACACCAGGCTCGCCCTTCATGACCTTCAAGACTAAGTTTACGGCACGTTGGCAAGCATCACCAGCAGCCCATGACTTTCTTGACATGGTGTTTGGAGAGTGTCTGTATGTTCTTAAACTCTGTCCATCAACCCAAGCTTGTGAAACTGCATCTGCAGTTTGCTTCTCGCTCAATCCCAACAATTTGGAAACTACAGCGGCACTAGCAACCTTGACAAGTACAACATGGTCCAAACCGACCTTATTGTAAGAGTTCAAGAGTGCCAGACAACCTTGAATCTCATGTGCCTTAATCATAGCTTCCAAAACCTCTTTAATAGTTATGACCTTGCCATTGCCGAGATTTCCACCAGCTCTGTTTGTTCGCGAAATCCAATCTGCCACTGCGAGAATTGCACCCAAGTTGTCTGAAGGATGACCCCATTCTGCAGCCAACCAGCAATCATTGTAATCGAGCCATCTGATCATGGCACCAATATTGAATGCACCATTTACAGGATCGAGCTGAAATGGTGTACCTGGGACCTTTGTGCCATTAGGAACAATAGTTCCTTCAACGATTGGACCCAACAATTTTGTACATTCCTTGAATCGTAAACCTTCGAGACCGCAGCCTAGAGTGTCGAGGAAAACAAATCGAGCTGTGTCGAACTGTCAAAATCAATTAGCGGGGTAATCAATATTGTTGTTCTTTGGTCAAACTCACAGCAAGATCAGATTCAATTGGGGTGTTATGAACATAGCTGGCGATATCCTTAATCTCAGGATCGTACTCTCGAGCTTGGGGTGGTGGCGGGGCCCCAGATTGCAAAGGAGACATGGTGGAGAATTGTTTGAGCGATGGTGTTGTTCTTGTTGAAGCTCCGAAGTTTGCACGACTTCGCAGAGAAAGTGGGATTCTGAAGTTTCGTGATTGGGCTGGTAGTCGAAGAGTTCTGGATGCAGTACGAACACTACGATTAATTGTCGACATTGTTTTCTCTCTTTGCTTTTCTATCGATCAATGAAGACAAATAAATTTTTGACATCAAGAAATCAAAAGGTTCAAGAATTTAGTTTGGAAATAATGAGATTGTTGGATTGTTCTTTACCCGTACTCTACCTAGGCATTACCGCATTCCACGGGCCTTTGACCATACCACCTTCCCCACGGATCTACAAAATCCTTCTCACTTGCCTCGGTTAAGAGCGGTTTATCTCACGGCATCGGAGATAGAAACCACTCGATATGTGATTGATTTGGCAAATACCAAGAACGAAATGGAAAATCAATATATGTATGTATGCATGTATGTAATAGTTTGTTGTCCTACAGTCTGTAGGTTACTGATTCAGTTCTCAATTGTCATTAACCCCTTTCGCTACCGGCGCTATCAATTACCCGGGTAAGGAATCTCAATGTTTTCACCAACGAAACCACACGAGACTAAAAATAAACTACCCTCGCTCCCTTCAAGAAAAGATTCATATTTCCTTTACTGTTTTCCATATCACTTATAGAATCCGCTAAGTGCTCTCATTGGTAACCTCTCAGCTTGATCCTTCTTTTTGGCATGCAACGTTTGTCCATCAGGTTCTAGGTACGAATCTCCCCATCGGACTGCAGGTTTGAGAAGTCAGCAAGTAATTCTTTCATTGGAAAACCGATCCCAGAGCTTCTCTGAAGAAGTCGAAGGATGAAGCATCCCCTTGGAAATCTCACAAGTATCATAGCAAAACGTGATAAAGCAGCGATTAGGCGATGAGTTTGGGGGAAACATACCAAATAATTGTTCTCCAAAGTTTATATCCCTCAACGCTCTAACAGTGATGCGTAATTTCCCTGCCCAGACTTCCGAGCGGAATTCAACATTTGATGTTTGACTCGTGCCTTTATTAACCACCCTCGTCCATCCACCTTTGTGGCCAGTAATCAGCGTTGCGATCGGTTCTGTATTGGTGTCAATGGTCTTCTTCACTACAACATCCGGGTCAATCTCTAGAACTTTCCCAGACTTGTCGACGGCAGGTGGTGCATGAAAGTCGACAGAGAATGTAGAAGGACATTTGAAATCACTCTCGGTACCAAGTGGGATGAATTCTCCAAGGACTTCCGAAATGATATGACCTCTTGGGACATTTTGTAAAATCCTGACTCCGCGGTCAACAGAGTCAGCCACTTTGGACGTCGATTCGGAATGATATTCTTTGATCTCTACCAAGATTCGATTAAAAACATCGATCGTCTTGCAGCGACAGATTGGCTCCTTTTCAGGTGCTTTTTCTGCATCTGATTCTTCTGGATCTTCTGCATTTTCTGATTCTTCTGGCTCTTCCTGTACTTCTTCTTCTACTACTTCCAGAGGCCCCGTTCGGAGTCCACAAGCAACACACAACGGATAGTTCTTCCCCCATTCTCGACATGGATGCTGAATATCCGCAGGTGGATACTCCCAGCTTGGTGGCCATGTCGATGGGGGATCATATTGTTTAAAAATCTCTCTGTTAAATACGTTGGCCTTCAGATTTTGAAAGCGGAGTGGAACCACACGATTTTTCGCAGGTCCCAACTTTTCTAGGTTTTCTTTCGGGTTTTTGAATGGAAGCTTGAAGACACCCTGATGTACAGATTCGAATTCGCCATGAAGGGGCGTGAACAGACAAGGATAAACTGTTCCATCCCCTCCAAGGCACACTTCAAACGGATCTCTGATCGAAGGATCCAGCTGAAGATTCAAATTCGCTGGCCGCACATCGCCCTCAAACAAGTTCGCACCGCTGCGAGCAAAAACTTTCATATATGGAATATGTCGTGCGATAGCAAAGCCTCTAATGCTAAAATGTTCCAACTGGAGCTTCAATAGGAACTCGTCCCATCTAGTAGTGTGTGAGTACCCCTCTTGACCCTGCTTGGCGAAAGTTCCATCAGGCAATTCTCCATAAGTCAATGCGGTGCGGAAATTCTGTGAAAGCATGAGAACGCAAGCACTATCAGTGCCTATCCCTCTCGCATGGTCTTCTGGGTTTTGAGCCAAGAATAGAAATCGCAAGTATACCCCAGCAAGATCGTCAAACAACCCTTCATAAGGATCGTACGTATCGGAATTGATCAACGTAGGGTGCAAGAAGTGATATTGAAGATCCGCATAAATCTTCTCAAACAATGCCGTAGTATGGATTCTATTCCTCTCGCGCTCGATATTCGTCGTCATCGATTGCGATACTGGAACCTTCTTCCCCCGATTTTCCAAAAAAGTTCGTCGTCTCTTTGCGGCTTGGACGACAGCATCATCTTCATGTTTTCTCTTCCACCCGCGGTTTTCTTCCATAACCTTCTCTTGATGTTTCTCTGCCAACTTCTTCTTACGACTCGCAAATTTCCCTTTCAGCTTTTTGATTCTATTCTCATGCTGGACTTTCTTCTGCTCGTTATAAGCGATTCTCGCAGCAGGATCCATAAATCTTATTTTTTCCGCCTCTGTTTCTTTCTCTCTCTCTCCCATCTTCTCTCTCGCCAACCTTTCCGCCGGATTAAGCTCCTTCGCTCGTCTTCTAGGCGGTCGAGATGAAGATCTCGAGCGCGATCTCGAGCGCGAGTCAGAAGAAAGCCGTGAATCGCGATCCACCGGTCGCGGACGGGGCTGTCGTCCCCTCGGCTTTGCCCATGGGGCCCAACCGAACCAATTAGCCATTACGAGATAATTACGTCGTGGAGTTTCCTGAAACCGAGTAGATGATGGAAAGGTTCAATAGATGTATCAATAGTAAAACCAAGCTATAGCTATCACACTCAACATATCTTCCTTTCACCATCTGTCTATCCACGAAACCATATAATAAATCTAAATTCTTTGTGCGCGATCTAACACAAGATAACTTATACATGGTATGAAAGAAAATACCCGCATGCGGTTACAATCGAATTCAAGAACAAACAAACAAATAATCAAAGAATAAGAGTTGATTCTTTTCCTCGATAGTCTCTTTGAATATATAGAAATGAGGAATTTAAGCCGTGAACAGTACGGTTTCCTTACGACAAGGAGTCCAGTCCAGGTAGCATTAACCCATGATACTAACTACCTAGCTCGTGGATTTTGAAGGCAGTTGGTATGATCTACTAGTATATATATAGGAATCCTACCATAAAACCATCAACATCCTCACCTATGTTCAAATGTTCAAAAAATCAAATCAACATTCTCACAAATCCCCAAATCCCAAACCGCATTCCACACCATCACATCCCACCAATCTCCTTTCCTTTCCAAACATCCCACACAAAAAAGCCATCGCACATTCTCCCTCTACAAACACATTTTAATATAAACATGTCTAGTAACCAAACCCCATGATCTAACAACCCATCACATCTAATCAATACATATAGCCAACCATACTTCCCACCAAGCTCCCGGAATACAATACAATATCTAGATATTTTATATGTTATACACACCCGCGATAAATCCATAGAGCGTATCTCCAACACCCGACACGATACCTACCTAGGTAATCATCGCGAACAATTAGCGAAATGCGGGTGTCAATGCGATTATATGATGTATAATGTACGAGGGAAAAGCCAGCCACTCTAGCCATTCAACTAGTTGTGGATAGTTGTAGACGTCGAAGGTAAACGAGTCGAGTATATTGAATATAAATGAGGATTTGCAGCTAACGAGCGAAGGGTTTTTTTTTTTTTGCAATTGGTTGAATATCGACTGCGAGACGAGATGCTTTTGAATGGATACCTAGATTGGGATTGTATATTTTCTGGTTGAGGAAGATATCTCATCGATGCTGCGAATGTAATCTTACGTTCTATTTATGTGTAAAATTCATGATACATACCTAGGTACCGATACATACGTAACGTTGCGGCGAAATGTAAATATACATAAACCCCTCCCCCCCCCCACAACATTTCCAAAAGCCAAAGAACAAACCAAACCCCCAATCATTCCAAGGTTATCACTACAATTCTCGAGCTAAACTAAACTGTTATATAATGAAACAACATACCTACATAAAAACCACCACCATCTCGCAACCTACTAACCTTCTACCAATCGATTTCTTTTCCAAAGAGGGACTGCCCATTTAAACCCTTTAAACCATATCAAGAAACCATATCAAGAAACCATATCAAGAAACCATATCAAGAAACCATATCAAGAAACCATATCAAGAAAAGCAAATCAAGAAAAGCAAATCCAAAATCCACAACTCAATATAACTTCATCTACCTAGGTAGATACCTGCCGTTAAGTCCAACGTAGATATGTTCAATATTCTGAAAAGGGGGGTTGGGGTTGTAAAGAATCTGCGCTATTCCTGTTCGCCTTGACGTTGTGAATACAATGGGTTCTGACAAACGAGTTGAGTCTTGGATTATAAACATGATGGAGATGGAGAAAACGCTGGGTAAAGACTTGGAGCTTGTGGACATAATAGAATTGTGTGGTGGGAATGCTGGTTAGACTGCGATTGTTTCTTTACGTCGATTGACAGAAGATAAGCTCATAGAAATTGATAAAGGGGCAATCATCAGCGATTTATTCTTGCAAAGAGAAGGACGACATTCCTTTCAGATCAAACAAAGAAAGCACTTGCAATCACGGAGGCTATTGTTAGAAAAGCAAGAATGATTTTACACTGATTTGTTAGAACTTGTCCATAGAAACTAAATGATGCTGTAAGATAATGTTGTATTTTCCATCGTCACCCACAAGGGTGAAATGCTTTCCGTACCTACTGTGTATGCCAACACAAGAATCCTAATTGCCATGTTCCCCACGAAATACTCCAACCCCTTACGAAACGCCCTGATATTTGAAATACGCTCCAATAAGCATGGCTGCAATACACATGTCAAGATTCATTCCTCTTCACTTTCATCACTTTCTACCTGCATTAGCAGCTCCTTTTCCATTTCCGCCTCCAGATCAGCCTCAAGATCCATTACATCTTGATCACCCATGACTCCAGGGT